GTCCACTTGCCACTCCTATACTGTCCACATGCCACTCCTATACTGTCCACTTGCCACTCCTATACTGTCCACTTGCCACTCCTATACTGTCCACTTACCACTCCTATACTGTCCACATGCCACTCCTATACTGTCCACTTGCCACTCCTATACTGTCCACTTGCCACTCCTATGCTGTCCACTTGCCACTCCTATACTGTCCACATGCCACTCCTATACTGTCCACTTGCCACTCCTATACTGTCCACTTGCCACTCCAATACTGTCCACATGCCACTCCAATACTGTCCACTTGCCACTCCTATACTGTCCACTTGCCACTCCTATACTGTCCACTTGCCACTCCTATACTGTCCACTTGCCACTCCTATACTGTCCAATTGCCACTCCTATACTGTCCACTTGCCACTCCTATACTGTCCACTTGCCACTCCTATACTGTCCACTTGCCACTCCTATACTGTCCACTTGCCACTTCCTATACTGTCCCACTTGCCACTCCTATACTGTCCACTTGCCACTCCTATACTGTCCACTTGCCACTCCTATACTGTCCACTTGTCACTCCTATACTGTCCACTTGCCACTCCTATACTGTCCACATGCCACTCCTATACTGTCCACTTGCCACTCCTATACTGTCCACTTGCCACTCCTATACTGTCCACTTGCCACTCCTATACTGTCCACTTGCCACTCCTATACTGTCCACTTGCCACTCCTATACTGTCCACTTGCCACTCCAATACTGTCCACATTGCCACTCCTATACTGTCCACTTGCCACTCCTATTCTGTCCACATGCACTCCTATACTGTCCAGTTGCCACTCCTATACTGTCCACTTGCCACTCCTATACTGTCCACTTGCCACTCCTATACTGTCCACTTGCCACTCCTATACTGTCCACTTGCCACTCCTATAACTGTCCACTTGCCACTCCTATACTGTCCACTTGCCACTCCTATACTGTCCACTTGCCACTCCTATACTGTCCACTTGCCACTCCTATACTGTCCACTTGCCACTCCTATACTGTCCACTTGCCACTCCTATACTGTCCACTTGTCACTCCTATACTGTACACTTGCCACTCCTATACTGTCCACTTGCCACTCCTATACTGTCCACTTGCCACTCCTATACTGTCCACACGCCACTCCTATACTGTCCACTTGCCACTCCTATACTGTCCACTTGCCACTCCTATACTGTCCACTTGCCACTCCTATACTGTCCACTTGCCACTCCAATACTGTCCACTTGCCACTCCTATACTGAGCACATGCCACTCCTATACTGTCCACTTGCCACTCCTATACTGTCCACATGCCACTCCTATACTGTCCACTTGCCACTCCTATACTGTCCACTTGCCACTCCTATACTGTCCCCATGCCACTCCTATACTGTCCACTTGCCACTCCTATACTGTCCACTTGCCACTCCTATACTGTCCACTTGCCACTGCTATACTGTCCACTTGTCACTCCTATACTGTCCACTTGCCACTCCTATACTGTCCACTTGCCACTCCAATACTGTCCACTTGCCACTCCTATACTGTCCACTTGCCACTCCTATACTGTCCACATGCCACTCCTATACTGTCCACTTGTCACTCCTATACTGTCCACTTGCCACTCCTATACTGTCCACTTGCCACTCCTATACTGTCCACTTGCCACTCCTATACTGTCCACTTGCCACTCCTATACTGTCCACATGCCACTCCTATACTGTCCACATGCCACTCCTATACTGTCCACTTGCCACTCCTATACTGTCCACTTGCCACTCCTATACTGTCCACTTGCCACTCCTATACTGTCTACTTGCCACTCCTATACTGTCCACTTGCCACTCCTATACTGTCCACTTGTCACTCCTATACTGTCCACATGCCACTCCTATACTGTCCACTTGCCACTCCTATAATGTCCACTTGCCACTCCTATACTGTCCACTTGCCACTCCTATACTGTCCACATATTACTCCTATACTGTCCACTTGCCACTCCTATACTGTCCACATGCCACTCCTATACTGTCCACTTGCCACTCCTATACTGTCCACATGCCACTCCTATACTGTCCACTTGCCACTCCTATACTGTCCACTTGCCACTCCTATACTGTCGACATGCCACTCCTATACTGTCCACATGCCACTCCTATACTGTGCACATGCCACTCCTATACTGTCCACTTGCCACTCCTATACTGTCCACATGCCACTCCTATACTGTCCACTTGCCACTCCTATACTGTCCACTTGCCACTCCTATACTGTCCACATGCCACTCCTATACTGTCCACTTGCCACTCCTATACTGTCCACTTGCCACTCCTATACTGTCCACTTGCCACTGATATACTGTCCACTTGCCACTCCTATACTGTCCACTTGCCACTCCTATACTGTCCACATTGCCACTCCTATACTGTACACTTGCCACTCCTATACTGTCCACATGCCACTCCTATACTATCCACATGTCACTCCTATACTGTCCACTTGCCACTCCTATACTGTCCACATGCCACTCCTATACTGTCCACTTGCCACTCCTATACTGTCCACTTGCCACTCCTATACTGTCCACTTACCACTCCTATACTGTCCACATGCCACTCCTATACTGTCCACATGTCAATCCTATACTGTCCACATGCCACTCCTATACTGTCCACTTGCCACTCCTATACTGTCCACTTACCACTCCTATACTGTCCACTTGTCACTCCTATACTGTCCACTTGCCACGCCTATACTGTCCACGTACCACTACTGTCCACATGCCACTCCTATACTGTCCACGTGCCACTCCTATACTGTCCACTTGTCACTCCTATACTGTCCACTTGCCACTCCTATACTGTCCACTTGCCACTCCTATACTGTCCACATATTACTCCTATACTGTCCACATGCCACTCCTATACTGTCCACATGCCACTCCTATACTGTCCACTTGCCACTCCTATACTGTCCACATGCCACTCCTATACTGTCCACTTGTCACTCCTATACTGTCCACTTGCCACTCCTATACTGTCCACATGCCACTCCTATACTGTCCACTTGCCACTCCTATACTGTCCACTTGCCACTCCTATACTGTCCACATGCCACTCCTATACTGTCCACTTGCCACTCCTATGCTGTCCACTTGCCACTCCTATACTGTCCACTTGCCACTGCTATACTGTCCACTTGCCACTCCTATACTGTCCACTTGCCACTCCTATACTGTCCACTTGCCACTCCTATACTGTACACTTGCCACTCCTATACTGTCCACATGCCACTCCTATACTATCCACATGCCACTCCTATACTGTCCACTTGCCACTCTATACTGTCCACATGCCACTCCTATACTGTCCACTTGCCACTCCTATACTGTCCACTTGCCACTCCTATACTGTCCACATGCCACTCCTATACTGTCCACTTGCCACTCCTATACTGTCCACATGCCACTCCTATACTGTCCACTTGCCACTCCTATACTGTCCACTTGCCACTCCTATACTGTCCACTTGCCACTCCTATACTGTCCACTTGCCACTCCTATACTGTCCACTTGCCACTCCTATACTGTCCACATGCCACTCCTATACTGTCCACTGCCACTCCTATACTGTCCACTTGCCACTCCTATACTGTCCACATGCCACTCCTATACTGTCCACTTGCCACTCCTATACTGTCCACATGCCACTCCTATACTGTCCACTTACCACTCCTATACTGTCCACTGCCACTCCTATACTGTCCCCAACTCCTATACTGTCCACTGCCACTCCTATACTGTCCACTTGCCACTCCTATACTGTCCACTTACCACTCCTATACTGTCCACTTGCCACTCCTATACTGTCCATTGCACTCTATACTGTCCACATGCCACTCCTATACTGTCCACTTGCCACTCCTATACTGTCCACTTGCCACTCCTATACTGTCCACTTGCCACTACTGTCCACATGCCACTCCTATACTGTCCACTGCCACTCCTATACTGTCCACTTGTCACTCCTATACTGTCCACTTGCCACTCCTATACTGTCCACTGCCACTCCTATCTGTCCACATGCCACTCCTATACTGTCCACGTGCCACTCCTATACTGTCCACTCCACTCCTATACTGTCCACTTGCCACTCCTATACTGTCCACTTGCCACTCCTATACTGTCCACATTGCACTCCTATACTGTCCACTTGCCACTCCTATACTGTCCACATGCCACTCCTATACTGTCCACTTGCCACTCCTATACTGTCCACACTGCCACTCCTATACTGTCCACTGCCACTCCTATACTGTCCACTTGCCACTCCTATACTGTCCACTTGCCACTCCTATACTGTCCACTTGCCACTCCTATACTGTCCACTTGCCACTCCTATACTGTCCACTTGCCACTCCTATACTGTACACTTGCCACTCCTATACTGTCCACATGCCACTCCTATACTATCCACATGTCACTCTATACTGTCCACTTGCCACTCCTATACTGTCCACATGCCACTCCTATACTGTCCACTTGCCACTCCTATACTGTCCACTTGCCACCCCCTATACTGTCCACATGCCACTCCTATACTGTCCACTTGCCACTCTATACTGTCCACTTGCCACTCCTATACTGTCCCACTTGCCACTCCTATACTGTCCACTTGCCACTCCTATACTGTCTACTTGCCACTCCTATACTGTCCACTTGTCACTCCCTATTACTGTCCACGTTGCCACTCCTATACTGTCCACTTGTCACTCCTATACTGTCCACTTGCCGACTCCTATACTGTCTACATGCCACTCCTATACTGTCCACTTGCCACTCCTATACTGTCCACTTGCCACTCCTATACTGTCTACATGCCACTCCTATACTGTCCACATGCCACCCGTGCTACAACCGTTGCTGCCCTTTGCTGCCCCCCACACACCTCCGCCCCCCCCCCCCCCCCCCACCACGGAGCAGCTGCTGCTGCTGTCGCGTCAGTTTGTGCAGTGGGACGAGGAGCTGACGCGCGTCGAGGTGGCGCGAGGCGCCCGCAGGGTGCTCGACTGACGAGGGCCGAGGCTCCGAAGAACCCGTGGCGTCGCCCGACCGAGCACCCACCCACGGCACTCTGCACACGGCACGCGGACACACGGCACACGGACACACGGCACCCGCACGGCACGCAGAGACGCAGGCAAAGGTGCCCCCCACCACGCCCCTGCCCGTGTGGCCCCCGGCTACTTCCGTTGGGACTTCTTTCGCGCCGCACGCGGCCAAGCCGTGCCCCAACGCGCGCCGCACCGGGTTACTCACTTCGGACCGAGTCGACCTAAGGGAGGCCCCGGACCGGTTCAAGGTGTTCGCCGTCCTTCGAACTTGGGTCGTCTGCCGCATGGCAACGTCCACCCGCCAACCCCCCCCCCCCCCCCCCCCCCCCTTACTGGCAGGACGAAACGCCTGCTCGTCTTGTTCTGCGCAGAGACAGCTGCCACTGGGGGTGCCCTCGCACGATAGCAATCGCTCACACTCATTACACTCCACACTCCCCCCCCCGCCAACCCCACTGGCAGAACATACAAACTCCAATATAAGCTCATGATACTGGTGTTTTATTTGGGTTCGATCGCGTGAATATATAAATGTTGTGTCGTTAAAGCCGCCACCACCCGACACAGCCAATTAGTAAGGGGGTTTGTCACGTGAACAGAACGCGGCCAATTCGTCACTAGCACAGCACTAACCGGGTGTGTGTTGTGGGAGCTGTACTAGTCTCGAATTGGCATGTTCTATTTACGTGACAAACCTTACGAATTGGCTGTTGTTAGCAAGGGGGTTTGTCACGTGAACAGAACGCGGCCAATTCGTCACTAGCACAGCACTAACCGGTTGTGTGTTGGAGAGCCACAACGTTTACAGTCTTGAGTATCGTGACGTTTCGCCAGTCATTACAACCACCAGCTTTGTCAGGCGACAGCCACATTTGTGGAGAAGCCCTCCGCCTGTTTTCGTTCCTTATGCAGAGGCGTCGATGTGATGACCACGCTTGTGCAAAGTGGTGGTGGTGGTGGCGGCGGCGGGGGGAGGTGGGAATCGACGTACAATCTGCGAGCCACGTGATCTTGTACTTGCTTGTCCATTGTGTTGTACTGAAATAGCCCCGTACCAACGGTGATCCCGATCCATGGAAAGCTCGCCCGGGGTTGGGAGTCGAACCCCCGGTCGCCGCCGTGCTTTACGGCCCTGCCGCCCCGCCGCCCCCGGCGATCGATCGATTACGACGATTTGGGTCGGGCCAAGTCCGCCGAGCTCGGGCGAGGAGTCGAACGCGTGGCCTGCGCTCCGTATTTATCAAATAAAAGGCCGATGGCGATGAGGCGCGATCTCCCCCCTCGTTCGTTACGGGTGCGCGAGCGGAACGGGCGGCGGGGTCGATAGCGGACGTCCGGCGACGCCCCTGGCGCGGTTTCGAGTCGGCGAGGATCTCCTTGCGCCTGTCCCGTGCTGGTCGCGGCGCTGGAACGTTCTCCGGGGCTGGCTGCAGGTTTCGCACGCCGCGTTTGACGAGCCTTCACTGAAGGCGTTGGCCGACTGCAGGGATTCGTATCCCGATGACGATCGCCTGTAGTTGCGTTGTGATCGAAACGTCGTAGTTGTTTTTGTTGTGTCTTTGTGTTGTCTCCGCTTGTGTATCTGCCTTTGTGTCTTGGCTTGGGTTTGTGTCTCTGTGCTGTCCTCTGCCTGTGTGTGGGCCTTGGTGTTTCCGAGTGTGTGCTGCTGGCGCCCCCACTTTGCTCCATGCATACTTCATGCTAAATTTTCCCATTGTCTCTCAGCCTTACCTTCTCTGCCTATTTAAGGCGACTTCACTGTGTGCGTGTCTGTGTGCTGGTTCGCTCTACTTGGATGTCTATGTGTGTGTGCGCGGTCTGTATTTTTAATTTCATACTTACAATTTAGCAATCTTTGAAATAGCGTAATCAACCAGACTATGCGTTATTTGTGTTTTGACCGACCGTCTGTGTTGCTTTATATGGTTTCCAAATTTGCTAAACCCTGTTTGTTTGATGTGATTCTCTGTGTCCCCTGTTGTATCTGTGTTAGTTCCCCCCCTACTTGGGTGTCTGTATATACATCTGGGGTTATGTGTTTCCTGTCTCGTAAATTTAGCTCTTCTGTACCTGATGATGGCTGCTTGTGTTGCAACCGAAACGTCATACGTTATTATGTTATTTTATTATCTCTTATTTATACGTGACTTTACCGAAAAAACCCAAAAAAAATGTTTTTTATTGTTTTCTTTCAACTTATCTACGTGACTTTCCCAAAAGACCCAAAGAATATCCATGAACCATGCCCAGTAACCATTAGCCACTCCTGCTCATCCACTAGCTCCGCCCAGTAGCCAATAGTCACGCCCACTCATCCACTAGCCCCACCCAGTAGCCAATAGTCACTCCTGCTCATCCACTAGCTCCGCCCAGTAGCCAATAGCCACTCCTGCTCATCCACTAGCTCCGCCCAGTAGCCAATAGTCACGCCCACTCATCCACTAGCCCCACCCAGTAGCCAATAGTCACTCTTGCTCATCCACTAGCTCCGCCCAGTAGCCAATAGCCACTCCCATTCACCCACTAGCCCCACGCAGTAACCAATAGTCACTCCCACTCAACCACTAGGCCCCACGCATTAACAATAGTCACTCCCACTCATCCACTAGACCCACCACAGTAACCAATAGCCACTCCTGCTCATCACTAGCTCCGCCCAGTAGCCATAGCCCCTCCTGCTCATCCACTAGCTCCGCCCAGTAGCCAATAGCCACTCCCACTCCCCACTAGCCCCACGCAGTAACCAATAGTCACTCCCACTCATCCACTAGCCCCACCCAGTAGCCAATAGTCACTCCACTCATCCACTAGCCCCACCCAGTACCCATTTAACTCTCATCAACTAGCCCCACCCAGTATCCATAGTCACTCCACTCATCAACTAGCCCCACCCCAGTAGCCAATAGTCACTCCCACTCATCCACTAGCCCCACCCAGTATCCAATAGCCACACCCACTCACGCCACTAGCCCGCCCAGTATCCAATAGCCACTCTCATCACACTAGCCCCGCCCAGTATCCAATAGCCACTCCCACTCATCCACGAGCCTTATCCACTAGCCCCCCCCATGCATTAGGGGTGGTTTAGGTGGCTGATTTGGGTGGCGGTGGGTTGGGCGTGGTTGGAGGGGGTTTGGTGGGGTGGGGGGGGTCGGTGGTCCCGCCCCTCAATCTTAGACCCCGCCCACCCAGCTCCACCCCCCCCCTCTCCCCGCCGTACCCGGAAGTGTCACTCCGGTGTCTTCGCCGCGTCTCCCCCAGGAGGGGCTCCCCACGACCCCCGTCTCGCCGCGTTCCTCACCGCCGCCTCCTCCGCCCTCCTCCTCTCGGGCCCTGGGCCTCCGGTCCCTCCGCGCTTCCCTCTCGTCTCGTTATGCGCGAGCATCGCGGGCCATGCTGGAGCGAATCCTCGCCAGTCTGGTACGGGACACCCCACCCTTGACTGGCTCGGCCCCAGCCGGCACCTCGCTCGCGAGTCCCGCGGGGCCCGCTAGGCTAGACCGAGGATGCGCGGCGGGTGCTACTAGGCCGCGGCCTTACGAGCGACAGTTTTTCAACCGGTGTTTGATGTTTGAATTATAGTTTGTTATTTTTTTTAGCAACTCATCTAACAAATCATTTAACACGCCCTTTAAAACTTTTTTTTAACAACTCGTCTAACTAAAAAAAATAACTAATCTAACCACTCGTCCAACCACTCGTCTCCACCAACAACAGCAACTCCTTGAACAAACCCTTTAAATAACTCTCACAAATCCTTTAACAACTCTCACAAATCCTTTAACTCCGCATTCTTCCGTAATCGCTGCCAATGAAGTTCTCGGTGGCTCATTGTAGAGCGTCGACGGGAAGTGAAGGTAGAAGGTCCATCAGTTTCAAAGACGGTGCATCATTTATCATCAGAGACGTGTGTTTTCATGTTCGCCACAAGTTTCCGTGTGTGGGTTAATGCAGTGGCTTCACGTAAGTGTTTGAACACCTTAACACAGAAAGGTAAAAAAAAACTAGTGTCTCGCTGTGTCACCTGTCACCCTGTGTGTGTGTGTGTCCCTGTGTCTCTCGCTGTGTCTCTACCTGTGTCTCTGTCCCTGTGGTCCCCCTGTGTCTCTCCTGTGTCTCTCGCTGTGTCACCCTGTGTCCCCCTGTGTGTGTGTCCCAGTGTCTCGCTGTGTCTCCTGTGTCTCTCCCTGTGTCTCTGTCCCTGTGTCCCCCTGTGTCTCTGTCCAGTGTCTCTCCTTGTCTCCTCCTGTGTCTCTCCCTGTGTCTCTGTCCCTGTGTCCCCCTGTGTCTCTCCCTGTGTCTCTCGCTGTGTCACCCTGTGTGTGTGTCCCAGTGTCTCTGCCTGTGTCTCTCCCTGTGTCTCTCCCTGTGTCTCTGTCCCTGTTCCCCCTGTGTCTCTGTCCCAGTGTCTATCCTTGTCTCCCCCTGTGTCTCTCCCTGTGTCTCTGTCCCTGTGTCCCCCTGTGTCTCTCCCTGTGTCTCTCCCTGTGTCCCCCTGTGTCTCACCTGTGTGTCTCCCTGTGTCTCTGTCCTGTGTCCCCCCTGTGTCTCTCCCTGTGTCCCCCTGTGTCTCACCTGTGTGTCTCCTGTGGTCTCCCTGTGTCTCTCCCTGTCTCTCCCTGTGTCTCTCCTGTGTCTATCCTGTGTCTCTCCCTGTGTCTCTCCCTGTGCTCTCCTGTGTCTCTTCCTGTGTCTCTCCCTGTGTCCCCCTGTGTCTCCCCTGTGTCTCCCTGTGTGTCTCTCCTGTGTGTCTCCCTGTGTCTCTCCCTGTGTCTCTCCCTGTCTCTCCCTGTGTCTTACCCTGTGGGTCCTCTCCCTGTGTGTCTCCCTTGTCTCCCTGTGTCCTCTCCCTGTGTCTCTCCCTGTGTCTCTCCCTGTGTCTCTCCCTGTGTCACCCTGTGTCTCTCTCCCTGTGTCTCTCCCTGTGTCTCTCCCCTGTGTCTCTCCCCCTGTGTCTCTCTCCCCGTGTCTCTCCCTGTGTCTCTCCCTGTGTCTCCCTGTGTCTCTCTCCCTGTGTGTCTCTCCCTGTGTCTCTCCCTGTGTCTCTCCCTGTTCTCTCCCTGTGTCTCTCCCTGTGTCACCCTGTGTGTCTCTCCCTGGGTCTCTCCCTGTGTCTCTCCCTTGTGTCTCCCTCTGTGTCTCTCCCTGTGTCTCTCCCTGTCTCTCTCCTTGTGTGTCTCTCTGTGTGTCTCTCCCTGTGTGTCTCTCCCTGTGTGTCTCCCTGTGTCTCCCTGTGTGTCTCCCTGTGTCTCTCCCTGTGTCTCTCCCTGTGTCTCTCCCTGTGTCTCTCCCTGTGTGTCTCCCTGTGTGTCTCCCTGTGTCTCTCCCTGTGTCTCTCCCTGTGTCTCTCCCTGTGTCCCCTGTCTCCCCTGTGTCACCCTGTGTGTCTCGCTGTGTCTCTCCCTGTGTCTCTCCCTGTGTCCCCTGTCACCCTGTGTGTGTGTGTCCCAGTGTCTCGCTGTGTCTCCCTGCATCTCGCCGTGTGCGTGTCCCCGTGTCTCCCTGTGTGTGTGTGTCCACTGTCTCACCGTGTCCCCGTGTCTCCCTGTCCCCCGTGTCCCCCCCCCCCCCCCACCCCCGCGTGTCCACAGGGGCTGAGAAGATCCGCTCCACCGGTCGACCTCCGCTCCATCCACGTGGGGGATGGCTTCCCGCCGGGACCCTACGTGCAGCACTCGTACCGAGGACAACACAATCACCTCGTCCAAGGTGATTGCGGGTGACCCGCGGCGCCCGTGCCAGGCTAGGTGGCACCTCGCTGGGGGAGGGGCGGGGCGGGCGGGTGGCGCCCCCCGTGAAGCTTGCCTAAGGCGAGACACTGGGGCACACACACAGGGTGACGGAGACACAGGGAGACACAGGGAGACACAGCGAGACACAGGGAGAGACCAGGGAGAGACAGGGAGACACAGGGAGAGACACAGCGAGACACAGGGAGAGACACAGGGAGAGACACAGGGAGACACAGGGAGAGACACAGGGAGAGACACAGGGAGAGACACAGGGAGAGACACAGGGAGAGACACAGGGAGACACAGGGTGACGGAGACACAGCGAGAGACACAGGGAGAGACACAGGGAGAGACACAGGGAGACACAGGGAGACACAGGGAGAGACACAGGGGAGACACACAGGGAGACACAGGGAGAGACACAGGGGAGACACAGGGAGACACCAGGGGAGACACCAGGGAGACACAGTGAGAGATACAGGGAGACACAGGGAGAGACACAGGAGAGACACAGGGAGAGACACAGCGAGGACACAGGGAGACACAGGGAGAGACACAGGAGACACAGGGACACTCACGCTGAGACACAGCGAGAGACACAGGGAGAGACACAGCGAGACACAGGGACACACACACAGGCTGACGGAGACACAGGGACACTCACGCCGAGACACAGGGAGACACAAGGAGACACAGGGAGACACAGCGAGAGACACAGGGAGACACAGCGAGAGACACAGGGAGACACTGAGACACTGGGACACACACATAGGGTGACGGAGACACAGGGACACTCACGCCGAGACACAGGGAGAGACACAGGAGAGACACAGGGGACACAGGAGACAGAGACACGGCGAGACACAGGGAGACAGCGAGAGACACAGGGAGACACTGAGACACTGGGACACACACAGAGGTTTCGGAGACACCATGGACACTCACGCCGAGACACAGCGAGAGACAAGGGAGACACAGCGAGAGACACAGGGAGACACAGGGAGACACAGGGAGACACACACAAGGTGACGGAGACACAGGGACACTCACCCCGAGACACAGGGAGAGACACAGGGAGACACAGCGAGAGACGCAGGGAGACACAGCGAGAGACACAGGGAGAGACACAGGGAGAGACACAGGGACCACTCACGCTGAGGCACAGCGAGAGACGCAGGGAGACACCAGCGAGGAGACACAGGGACACACAGCGAGACACTGGGGACACACACAGGTGACAGAGACACAGCGAGACACACGCCGAGACACAGCGAGAGACAACCAGCGAGACACTGGGACACACACACAGGGTGACGGAGACACAGCGAGAGACACAGCGAGACACAGCGAGAGACACAGGGAGACACAGCGAGACACTGGGACACACACACAATATGGTGACAGAGACACAGGGACACTCACGCCGAGACACAGCGAAAGACAACAGGGAGACACAGCGAGACACTGGGACACACACACAGGGTAACAGAGACACAGGGAACACTCACGCCGAGACACAGCGAAAGACACAGGGAGAGACACAGCGAGACACTGGGATACAGGGAGACACAGCGAGACACTTCGAGACACAGCGAGAGACACAGCGAGACACTGGGACACACACATAGGGTGACCGAGACACAGGGACACTCACGCCGAGACACGGCGAGAGACGCAGGGAGACACAGCGAGAACACTGGACACACACAGGGTGACAGAGACAACAGGGACACTCACGCCGAGACACAGCGAGAGACACAGGGAGAGACACAGGGAGACACAGCGAGACACAGCGAGAGACACAGGGAGACACAGCGGACACGTAGGACACACACACAGGTGACGGAGAACAGCGAGAGACACAGGGAGACACGCCGAGACTCAGCGAGAGACACAGGGAGAGACACAGGGAGACACAGCGAGAGACACAGGGAGAGACACAGGGAGAGACACAGCGAGACACTGGGACACACACACAGGGTGACGGAGACACAGGGCGACACTCCACACCGAGGACACAGCGAAAGAGCACAGGGAGACACAGGGAGACACAGCGAGACACCTGGGACACACACACAGGGTGACAGAGACACAGGGACACTCACGCCGAGACACAGGGGACACTCACGCCGAGACACAGCGAGAGACACAGCGAGACACTGGGATACCGGGAGACACAGCGAGACACTTCGAGACACAGCGAGAGACACAGCGAGACACTGGGACACACACATAGGGGACCGAGACACAGGGACACTCACGCCGAGACACAGCGAGAGACACAGGAGACACAGCGAGACACTGGGACAACACACACAGGGTGACGGAGGACACAGGTAGACACAGAGAGACACAGCGAGAGACACAGGGAGACACAGCGAGAGACACGGGAGACACAGGGAGACACAGCGAGAGACACAGGGAGACACAGCGAGACACAGGGATACACACAGAGGGTGACGGAGACACACGCCGAGACACAGCGAGACACAGGGACACACACACACAGGGTTGTGTGTGTGTCCCTGCAGTCACGAAAGCTTTAAATCAAAGTTTAACACATGCTGTTTGTTTTTCACGCTTTTTATTAACTCACTCTGTTGTTGTTGTATCCTCAAATCTTGTAACTCAATTGTAACCCACTTCCCAATGTGGTATCGACCACAAGCTTGGTTATACTTATGTCATACTGATGACAATTACTATATTCTATCGTGAAAAATAAAATTATGTATTTTAGAAACATTGTTTTTTAACATGTTATATGTGTCGGCCTGGGGTCTAATTGTCCACGCTCAACTGACGTCGGCTGTAAAAATCGGCCACGGTCCCCTTAGGTCGTGGCGAGCTTCGTGGCCCACTTCCTAGAGTCGTGGTGGAGTTCTTACATCGCTGGTGCGACACGTTTCAGTGAAGCGTGTTTGTTAAAACAAAAGTTTTTTTCAAAAAAACAACATTACTTATTCTTCCGCTCGCTTTTTCATCGCCGCGACGCGGAGCTGGGACGCGCCACGTGGCCAAGCCCCCCCCTCCCCCCACCGCCCCCCCGCGTCGGTCGCTCCCACCCTGGTCAACCATAGGCCCTGTAGCCTGACTCGGCCGCCTGTCCCCCCCCCCTCCCAGTACACACTTTGGAACTTCTTCCCGAAGAATCTCTTCGAACAGTTCCGACGCATCGCCAACCTCTACTTCCTCATGGTCTTCCTCATCCAGGCGAGTGCTCCCGCGTCCTCACCACGGTGGCTAGGTGGATGTTGACTACCTCGCCCGGTACACAGGAGGTCGTGGGTTCGATCCCGACCCTGACGATGCCTGCTGCTGTAATTGTGGAGTCTGCGTGTCTCTCTCATCATCATCACGGTGGCTATGAGATGTTGACTACCTCGCCCGGTACGCAGGAGGTCGTGGGTTCGACCCCGACGCTGAAAATGCCTGGCGTGTCTCTCTCTCATCATCATCATCACGGTGGCTATGAGATGTTGACTGCCTCGCCCGGTACGCAGGAGGTCGTGGGTTCGACCCCGACCCTGACGATGCCTGCTGCTGTATATTTGGAGTCTGTGTCTCTCTCTCATCATCATCACGGTGGCTAGGTGGATGTTGACTGCCTCGCCCGGTGTGCGGAGGTCGTGGGTTCGACCCCGACCCTGACGATGCCTGCTGCTGTATATTTGGAGTCTGCGTCTCTCTCTCATCATCATCACGGTGGCTATGAGATGTTAACTACCTCGCCTGGTATGCAGGAGGTCGTGTGTTCAATCCCGACCCAGTATATTGGAGTCTGCGTCTCTCTCTCATCATCATCATCACGTTGGTTAGGAGATGTTGACTGCCTCGCCTGGTCTACAGGAGGTCGTGGGTTCGATCCCGACCCTGACGATGCCTGCTGCTGTATTTGTGGAGTCTGCGTCTCTCTCTCTCTCATCATCATCACGTTGGCTAGGAGATGTTGACTGCCTCGCCCGGTGTGCAGGAGGTCATGGGTTCAACCCTGACCCTGTTATATTTGGAGTCTGCGTCTCTCTCTCATCATCATCACGGTGGCTAGGAGATGTTGACTGCCTCGCCTGGTACACAGGAGGTCGTGGGTTCGATCCCGACCCTGACGATGCCTGCTGCTGTATATTTGGAGTCTGCGTCTCTCTCTCATCATCATCACGGTGGCTATGAGATGTTAACTACCTCGCCTGGTATGCAGGAGGTCGTGTGTTCAATCCCGACCCAGTATATTTGGAGTCTGCGTCTCTCTCATCATCATCATCATCACGGTGGCTAGGAGATGTTGACTACCTCGCCCGGTATGCAGGAGGTCGTGGGTTCAATCCCGACCCTGACGACGCCTACTGCTGTATTTGTGGAGTCTGCGTCTCTCTCATCATCATCACGGTGGCTAGGTGGATGTTGACTACCTCACCCGGTGTGCAGGAGGTCATGGGTTCCATCCCGACCCTGACGATGCCTGCTGCTGTATTTGTGGAGTCTGCGTCTCTCATCATCATCATCACGGTGGCTAGGGGATGTTTGACTACCTCGCCCGGGTACGCAGGAGGTCGTGGGTTCGATCCCGACCCTAACGGCCTGTTGCATGTTTGGAGTCTGCTGTGTCACTCTCATCATCATCATCACGGTGGCTAGGAGATATTATTCATAATAAAGTTTTTTGGTTAGATCGCGTTATTTATAAATGTGTTTGTAACCCTCCACCACCCGACACGGCCAATCAGCAAAAAAAAGTGTCACGTTGACAAAAGACAAATTCTAGATTTGAAGCTTTCGTTACTGCAAGGATCCATACTCTTTGGTTCTGTTCGGTAAAGTCACCTGCGTGACTTTTACCGAATAGAACCAAAGAGTATGAAAAGACAAAATAGTTCACTACTTTAGCCCACCGGTGGTTGTTGAAGAGTGAATCTCTACAACATTTACAGTTTGATTTCGATTTAAAGCTTTCGTGACTGCAAGGATTCATCTTCTTGGTTCTTTCGGTAAAGTCACCACGTAGAATGAGAATAAAATAATAAATTGATAAAATAAAATAACACAATGATATTCTCACGACGTTTCGGCCACAACACAAGCGGCCTTCATCAGGTGAAGGGGCGAGACTGTCTGGTAGGACAGCGCTGGAGTGAAAGAGCCACGTTCAGATCACGGGGCCCGTAGCTATCCGTGGTGCTGAAATTTGAGGCTTAAAGGCCGTGATCTGAACGTGGCTCTTTCACTCCAGCGCTGTCCTACCAGACAGTCTCGCCCCTTCACCTGATGAAGGCCGCTTGTGTTGTGGCCGAAACGTCGTGAGAATATTATTGTGTTATTTTATTTGATCAATTTATTATTTTATTCTCATTCTACGTGACTTTACCGAAAGAACCAAAGAAGATTTACAGTTTGAGTTGTACTGTGACGTTTCGCTGGTGATTACATCCAGCATCATCGGGCAATTCGCCAGAATGGTAAAAGCCCTCTCCACTTGCTCCCGGTTTTATATAGAGCAGCAGGGTAACGTCATCATTTAACTCATTTCAGGTGCAGTGATTTGAGGCGGAGGGGAGGGGGTATTGTGATTAAATAATCGATTGGTAATCAGTCAATGGTTATGATTAGTAATGAGTTGTAGATGAGTAATTAGTTGTAATGTGTGTTATTGTGATTATATGCCACGTTAGTAATCCGTTAATTAGCATGTGTTCCCCCTATATACTAATTAACGGATTGCTAACGTAGCATATGATCACAATACTACTCAAAACTGTAAATGTTGTGGATTCACTCTTCAACAACACCACCGGTGGGCTGTGTTCGTGAACACAAAGCAGACCTTAAACACGGTAGGACCAACACCTCGGCCGTGGTAGATCACTGTTATAATTCAGTAGGCTCACATGACATTGACTTCTCCAAGACAGAGGTTAATTTGTAAGCCATCTGGCTACCATGATAGATTCGTTCATGAGGCTATCCACATATACAAGCACAGAGACAATTTCAACCGAGAAGATGGATTCTGGCTTAGCAATCATTGGAAGGATTTGATAAACCATTTCAGGTCTTAATTGATTGTTCACGTTTACGGTGGCTTTCAGACAGCATACATTAATTTTTCGTCTCCCCCTTCCTCTTTTCAGAACATAGATGGACTCGTCCTTCTAAACTAACTGCCAAATCGCTGCGCGTGGCGCTGACGTTTTTTATAAATAAATACACCGTTTAAAAATAAATTAATTAATGCAAACCAACACTTCTTTCAAATGTTTCTTTGCCGTTGGGTTTTCACACCTGATGACGACCGTTTGTGTTATGGTCGAAACGTCGTGAGAATTTTTATTGTTTTATATATATTTTATATTATTTTATTGTTTCCCTTCAACGTGACTTTACCGAAAGAGCTAAGAATATTTGGTCTTTTGTCAACGTGACACTTTATTTTTGCCGATTGGCCGTGTCGGGTGGTGGAGGGGTTACGACACACTTATAAGTAACGCGATCTAACACAAAAACCCTTTATTGTGAATAGCATTGGTCGCGAAAGCCTGCTGCTACGTGTGAAACTAGGAGAAGTTGACTACCTCACCCGGTGTGCAGGAGGTCGCGAGTTCGATCCTCTCTCGTCTCTCTCTCACCGTGTTCTCCGTCCCCGTGGCCACGTGCATCACGTCTCCCCAAGTTGTTCCGGTCTTTACGTCCGCGTTTAGAATCGACGTCAACTCGTTTAGAGTGTTGGGCCGCTGCCGTACATTGCCACGTGAGGATGATGATGACGATGAGCCGCTTGGTCGAGCTGTCATCCGTTTGCCACGGCGCTTCGGGTGTGTTTTCGGTGTCGCGATCGGACCCACGACCTCCTGCGTACCGGGCGAGGTAGTCAACATCTCACACACAAATATACAGCAAGCGTGATCAGACCCACAACCTCCTGCGTACCGGGCGAGGTAGTCAACATCTCACCACACGCAAATATACAGCGGCAGGCGTGATCGGACCCACGACCTCCTACGTACCTGGCGAGGTAGTCAACATCTCACCACACAAATACACAGCAGCAGGTGTGATCGGACCCACGACCTCCTGCGTACCGGGCGAGGTAGTCAACATCTCACACAAATATACAGCAAGCGTGATCGGACCCACGACCTCCTGCATACCGGGCGAGGTAGTGAACATCTCACCACACACAAATATACAGCAGGTGTGGTCGGTGTCACGATCGAACCCACGACCTCCTGCGTACCTGGCGAGGTAGTCAACATCTCACACCCAAATATACAGCAGGCGCTATCGGACCTACGACCTCCTGCGTACCGGGCGAGGTAGTCAACATCTCACCACACACAAATATACGGCAGGCGTGATCGGACCCACGACCTCCTGCGTACCGGGCGAGGTAATCAACATCTCACCACACACAAATATACAGCAGGCGTGATCGGACCCACGACCTCCTGCGTACTGGGCGAGGTAGTCAACATCTCACCACACACAAATATACAGCAGCAGGTGTGATCGGACCCACGACCTCCTGCGTACCGGGCGAGGTAGTCAACATCTCATCACTGGCGCCCTCGGTCGTGCGATGCCAATTGGTGCTCGCTGACGACAGTTTCCCCAACAAGTCGGTTGGAGGCTACGCGGGGGATCTTTGTCTTTGTACCCGTGTGTGTGTCTGTGTGTGTGTGTGTCTCTGTGTGTATGTGTGTGTGTGTCTCTGTGTGTGTGTCTCTGTGTGTGTGTGTCTGTGTGTGTCTCTGTGTGTGTGTCTCTGTGTGTCTCTGTAAGTGTGTCTCTGTGTGTGTGTCTCTGTGTGTGTGTGTCTGTGTGTGTGTGTGTCTCTGTGTGTGTCTCTGTGTGTGTCTCTGTGTGTGTGTCTGTGTGTGTGTGTCTCTGTGTGTGTGTCTGTGTGTGTCTCTGTGTGTGTCTCTGTGTGTCTGTGTGTGTCTCTGTGTGTGTGTCTCTGTGTGTCTGTGTGTGTGTGTGTCTGTGTGTGTGTGTCTCTGTGTGTGTTTGTGTCTCTGTGTGTGTGTGTGTCTCTGTGTGTGTCTCTGTGTGTGTGTGTGTCTCTGTGTGTGTGTCTCTGTGTGTGTCTCTGTGTGTGTGTGTCTGTGTGTGTCTCTGTGTGTGTGTGTCTCTGTGTGTCTGGGTGTGTGTGTGTGTGTCTGTGTGTGTGTGTCTCTGTGTGTGTCTCTGTGTGTGTGTCTCTGTGTGTGTGTCTCTGTGTGTGTGTGTCTGTGTGTGTGTCTCTGTGTGTGTGTGTGTCCATGTGTGCGTGGTGAGCGGTGGGTGTAGCGGTTAGCGCTATGCTGCGCTACGAACCTGGCGACCCGGGTTCGATTCCCGCTCACGGCCAACACCACCGGTGACGATTATCTGAACCGGTCCTGGGCCTCCCCTAGGTCGACTCGGCCTCAACTGACTACCTGGTGCGGTGTGTAGTAAACATCGCTACTGGGGAGACAAAGGCGGTCGGGCGTGGTGCTGGCCACCCACCCCCTCGTGTACTGTCCCGGCCTTCATAGGTGCTCACTAACAGCACTTGCCCCTACAGTCTGTTAAGGCTATATGGGAGATATTTATCTTTGTCTTTGTGTGTGTGTGTGTGTGTCTGTGTGTGTGTCTGTGTGTATGTGTCTGTGTGTGTGTGTCTGTGCGTGTGTCTGTGTGTGTGTCTGTGTGTGTGTCTGTGTGTGTGTCTGTGTGTGTATGTGTGTCTGTGTGTGTGTCTTTGTGTGTGTGTCTGTGTGTTGTGTGTCTGTCTGTGTGTGTGTGTGTGTGTCTGTGTGTGTGTGTCTGTGTGTGTGTCTGTGTGTGTCTGTGTATGTGTCTGTGTATGTGTCTGTGTGTGTGTGTCTGTCTATGTGTGTGTGTGTGTGCGTGTCTGTGTGTGTGTGTGTGTGTCTGTGTGTGTCTGTGTGTGTCTGTGTGTGTGTCTGTGTGTGTGTCTGTGTGTGTGTCTGGTGTGGTGTCTGTGTGTGTGTCTGTGTGTGTGTATCTGTATGTGTATGCCTGTGTGTGTCTGTGTGTGTGTCTGTGTATCTGTATGTGTCTGTGTGCCTGTGTGTGTCTGTGTGTGTGTCTGTGTTTGTGTATCTGTATGTGTCTGTGTGTGTGTGTATGCCTGTGTGTGTGCCTGTGTGTGTGTGTGTGTGTGTCTGTGTGTGTGTGTCTGTGTGTGTGTCTTGTGTGTGTCTTGTGTGTGTGTCTGTGTGTGTGTGTTGTCTGTGTGTGTGTGTGTGTCTGTGTGTGTGTGTGTGTCTGTGTGTGTGTGTGTGTGTCTGTGTGTGTGTGTGTGTCTGTGTGTGTGCGCCCTCCACTGCAGCTGCTCGTGGACACGCCGACCAGCCCCGTGACGAGCGGAGTGCCGCTGCTCTTCGTCATCACGGTCACAGCCATCAAGCAGGTGACGGGAGCCCTGAGCAATACGCACGGCACACCCCTCCCCCCCCCACTGCTCTTGTGTGTATCTGTCGGTGTTTCAGTGCGTGTGTGTGAGTGTGTGTGTGAACGTATTGGTGAGTGTGTGTACGTGCGTGTGTACTTGTCTGTGCGTGCGTAACGTGTCTGTGCGTGTGTGTACGTGCGTGTGTACGTGTGTGCGTGTGTAACGTGTCTGTGCGTGTGTGTGTGTGTTCGTGTGTGCGTGTGTGTACGTGTGTGCGCGTGTGTGCGTGCATGTGTGCGTGTGTGCTGGAGCGTGCCACTAACGAGGTGGGGCCTTACCATCAGCCCCCACCAAAACTAAGCACCTGCCTGGGTATTTTGTACCATCGGACACTCCACCCCCACAACTCCCAACGGTGATGGGGCAGTTGTGGAGAGAGTGAGAGTTCCCATACCTGTGGGCAGCGTGCTTATGACTGGCTCAGTTTAACAGCAGAGGTCTCACTCCGAATCAGTCGAGCGGCAATATCTTTCTCATCGGTTTGCGTCAACGTTGTGTGGAAGCTACCCTGGTCTGTCGCTCCGCACTAAGCTTCAGGTCTTCTCGGCCACGGTCATTCCCTCCCTTCTCTACGCTTGCGAAACGTGGACCCCCCTAATGGAACATCTTCGCCGGTTAGAAACATTTAGGCTGGCCTGCCTACGATCCATCCCTGGTTTAACCCAGACTGGCTTGTGTGAGGAGCTCACAAATCCTTTGAAAGATCTGGGCAAGGGTCCATCGGTGAGCTTCCTCCGGCAGGCAAGGCTGCGATGGCTGGGTCATGTAGCCCGCATGCCAGCCAACGCATGCGAAACAGCTTTTTTTTGGCCGGATGAGGGGGCTAAGCCGGGCGCGGCACGGGCTAGAGAAGAGATGGAGTGATGTGGTACAGGAGGACGTGGAGCTGAGTGGACTTGCCGATGACGGGTACCAGACGGGTGTCAAGATCGGCCTTTTGGAGGAGGCTCGTGAAGGATGCTACTGGGCAGTTGGAGGCAGTCGCCCCTCAACAACAACGGAGGGCGGAGGTAGCGACGCTCAGAACAATGAGCGGAGCGCCGGGTGGCTAAAGCACAGCAGGTTGGCACAGTAGGGGCACAGGTGGTGCAATCAGCCAGTCGTCTCAGTCATCTCAGTCAGTCGACCCGTGGCACCTGGATCTGCCCCGTGACCTCCTGCCAGCGGGCGTTCGACACTTCACGTGGCCTCAGGTGCACATAGCCTGGCACAAGCGTCGTGGTGACGTCACCGCCACTTAGTGGCGAATGGCGGTTGTTGTTGTTGTGTGTACATGTGTGTGTACGTGTGTGTGCGTGTGTGTGTGTACGTGTGTGTGAGTGTGTGTGTACGTGTGTACGTGTGTGTATGTATGTGTGTACGTGCGTGTGTGTGTGCGTGTGTGTGTACATGTGTACGTGTGTGTGCGTGTGCGTGTACATGTGTGCGTGTGTATGTGTGTACATGGGCGTGTGTACGTGGTGTGTGTGTGTGTACGTGTGTATGTACGTGTGTACGTGTGTGTGTGTATGTGGGTGTGTGTGTGTACGTGTGTACGTGCATGTGTGCGTGTGTGTACGTGTGCGCGTGTGTATGTGTGTACATGTGCGTGTGTACGTGTGTGTACATGTGCGTGTGTGTGTACGTGTGTGTACGTGTGTGTACGTGTGTGTGTGTACGTGTGTATGTGTGTGTGTGTGTGTACGTGTGTGTGTGTGTACATGTGTGTGTACATGTGTATGTGTGTACGTGTGTCTACGTGTGTGTACGTGTGTGTGTGTGTGTACATGTGTGTGTGTGTGTATGTGTACGTGTGTGTGTGTGTGTACATGTGTACGTGTGTGTGTGTGTACGTGTGTGTGTGTATGTGTACGTGTGTGTGTACATGTGTACATGTGTACGTGTGTGTGTACGTGTGTGTACGTGTGTGTATGTGTGTGTGTACGTGTGTGTGTGTATGTGTATGTGTGTACGTGTGTGTGTACATGTGTACGTGTGTATGTGTGTACGTGTGTGTGTGTGTACGTGTGTGTGTACGTGTGTGTACATGTGTGTATCTGTGTGTGTGTACATGTGTACGTGTTTATGTGTGTATGTGTGTGTGTGTACGTGTGTATGTGTGTGTGTATGTGTGTGTGTGTACGTGTGTGTGTGTGCCCACAGGGCTACGAGGACTGGCTGCGCCACCGCGCCGACAGAGAAGCGAACCACGCGGATGTCTACACCGTGAAGAGCGGACACCTGGTGCGCCCGTACGCTTGCAAGCACGTCCGCGTGAGGTGCACACACACACACGTACACACGTACACGCACACACACACACGCACACACACGTACACAGCACGCACACACACAGCACACACACACACACAGCACACACACACACACGCGTACACACACGCACACACACACGCACACACACGACACACACACAACAACAACAACAACAACCGCCATTCGCCACTAAGTGGCGGTGACGTCACCACGACGCTTGTGCCAGGCTATGTGCACCCTGAGGCCACGTGAAGTGTCGAACGCCCGCTGGCAGGAGGTCACGGGGCAGACCCAGGTGCCACGGGTCGACTGACTGAGATGACTGGCTGATGCACCACCTGTGCCCCCTACTGTGCCAACCTGCTGTGCTTTAGCCACCCGGCGCTCCGCTCGCTGTTGTGAGCGTCGCTCCTCCGCCCTCCGTTGTTGTTGGAGGGCGACTGCCTCCAACTGCCCAGTAGCATCCTTCACGAGCCTCCTCCACAGAGGCCGATCTTGACACCGCTGGTACCAGTCATCGGCAAGTCCACTCAGCTCCACGTCCTCCTGTACCACATCACTCCATCTCTTCTCTAGCCCGTGCCGCGCCCGCTTAGCCCCCTCAATCCGGCCAAACAAAAGCTGTTTCGGCATGCGGTGGCTGGGCATGCGGGCTACATGACCCAGCCATCGCAGCCTTGCCTGCCGGAGGAGCTCACCGATGGGACCCTGCCCAGATCTTTCAAGGATTTGTGAGCTCCTCACACAATCCAGTCTGGTTAAACCCAGGATGGATCGTAGGCAGGTCAGCCTAAATGTTTCTAACCGGCGAAGATGTTCCATTAGGGGGGTCCACGTTTCGCAAGCGTAGAGAAGGGAGGGAATGACCGTGGCCGAGAAGACCTGAAGCTTAGTGCGGAGCGACAGACCAGGTAGCTTCCACACAGCGTTACGCAACCGATGAAAAGATATTGCCGCTCGACTGATTCGGAGTGAGACCTCTGCTGTTAAACTGGAGCCAGTCATAAGCACACTGCCCAGGTATGGGAAACTCTCCACTCTCTCCACAACTGCCCCATCACCGATTGGGAGTTGTGGGGGTGGAGTGTCCGATGGTACAAAATACCCAGGCAGGTGCTTAGTTTTGGTGGGGCTGATGGTAAGGCCCCACCTCTTAGTGGCACGCTCCAGTCTCAGCAGCAGCGTCTCCAACTCCTCCTCTGACTGAGCAGCTATTACCAAGTCATCAGCATACATAACGTGGTTGAGCAATAGGGAGCCATCCCTTGACCGCACCCGGGCATCGATTAGCCTCCCATTATATCTGTACCATATGGAGATTCCCCCGGTACAGCTATTGAAGGCTTCACGAACTACGTGGTCAAAATAGATGTTAAATAATGTGGGAGCCAGAGGACATCCCTGTCGCACCCCAAGGTGTACAGGGAATGGCTCTGACTCCCGGCCACGTAGTTTTACCCGGGCCCGCTCACCATCATGAAGGTCCTTAATGATCGTGAGCAGAGGGTCAGGTACTCCAAAAGCACGAAGAACGACCCAGAGCCCAGGCCTACTGATGGTATCATAGGCCTTGACCAGGTCAATAAAGCAGAGATGTAGGTCTTGTTGGAATTCCCTACACCTCTGCTGTAGCAGACGGACAGAAAATATGGCATCTGTGCAGGACCGCCCTTTCCTGAAACCGCATTGGGGCTCCGCAAGCCTCTCCTCAGCGTGCCTGGCAAGGCGATGCTGAATAATCCTTGCCAGGACCTTTCCCGGCACACTGAGGAGTGAGATGCCCCTGTAGTTGTTACAGTCTGTGCGGTCCCCCTTCTTAAAAAGGGGGACCACCAGGGCATCCTTCCAATCCTGCGGAACCCGTCCAGTGGTCCAGACTGTTGTTATGATGTCATATAGGGCAGTCTGTGCACAAACGCCACCCTCCCTCAGCATTTCGCTTGGGAGATCATCTCTGCCCGCTGCCTTTCCTGGTCTCAGACTCCGGATCGCCTTCAATACTTCCTCAGCAGATGGCACCTCAGCCAGCCACTCACAGGGGGTGACTTCATCCAATATTTGAGGCACCGCAGCCTCAGCAGGGTCATCCTCACTTTGTGCCACGATGTTTTCCTGGCTGAGGGATTTTCCCTCCCCCAGGACCTCACAGAAATGCTCAGCAAATCTGCGAACCTGTTCCTGGGGGTCGGAAATTGGATCACCGTTTTTTCCCCTAATGATGGTAATAGGTGTGGCGCTGCAGGTTACTTTTTTGATGGAGTTAAATAGCGATTTGTGATCACGGGCCACTGAGGCAGACTCCATCTCCTCAGCAACCCGCGACCACCACCCATCCTTGCAGCGCCTCACGGCTCTCCGAACCTCCGAGCGAAGGCTGCGGTAAGCCTCCTCATTCTCTGACGTGGGATTCTGTAGCCGATGACAGTGGGCCTGTCGCTTTTTCTCAACCATCCTGAACAACTCCTCTGTCATCCAGGGTGTCTGGGGAGGTCTGGACCGCGTACCCAAAGCAGCCATTGCAGCTGCATGAGTCACAGTCCTAAACCTCGCCCATTTACCCTCGACATCAGGAGGAGTCGGGGACGATGCCAATCCCAGCCGCAAGCGATGATGAAATTCTCGCTTGCAACTTTCATCAGATAACTGAGACCAGGCCACTTTAGGTTGGAATGGGGTCCTGGGTGTACACCCACCACCGGAGTGGAAGAATGGCAGGCGCATCTTACAGATGACTAGTCGATGGTCAGAGGGCAGATCAGCTCCACGGTAGGTCCTGGTGTCAAGGACATGGGCTCGCATTCGCTGGTCCGTCACTATGTAGTCCAGCAGATGTTCTTGCTTGGACCCGGCATGCATCCATGATGTTGTGTGGATGCGCCGATGCCGGAACAGCGTGTTGGTAATTACAAGCCCATGGGCTGCACAAAAATCTAGCAGCCTCCTACCGTTGTTATTGAGCTGATCTGGCCCATGCCCTCCAATCACTCCAGACCAGGTGCCAGTATCATGACCAACTCGGGCATTGAAGTCACCCAACATGATGACTCTATCCCGAGGGGCCACTTTAGCCAGCACCTGTGACAGGAGGTCATAGAAGGCATCTGACTCATCGGCTTTGCCTGCATCCCTCCACGGATGTTCATCTTCGGTGGGGGCATAAGTAACCACGACCACCATTCCTCGCCTCCGGTTGATGGGAAGGCGAGCCCAAAGTAGCCTGGGGCTTACAGCTTCCCACACCTCACCGCCACGCTCCCACGCCCCCTTCATTCTTTTGTTCAAAAGAAGACCCACACCCTGTTGTTTGGCAGTCTGCTGCCCCGAGTAGAGGACTGTCCACCCCTCATGGTGGCAGGAGCCAGAGCCGGTCCACCGGACCTCCTGAATGCCGCATAGATCCAGGCGGTACCGGTCCAGCTCCCGACAGAGGAGTGGCAGCCTCTCCTCTGCAGTGAGCGTTCGAACATTCCACGTGGCCACCCGTAGTGGCTTTTCGTTGTTTCTGGAGTAGCCCCGAGGGTAGGTATTCAATCTCCTGGCTCCGCCAATTGGGGTTTGGCCAGGAGACGTCATAGACGCCTGGCCCCCCGGGGCCTCCGGCACAAGCTTAGTTGTTACATATTTCACTTTAATTCGTGGTTTTGTGGTAATTAATTGAAGGTGGAGGGGTTACCAGCCCCTCGCACCCGTCCAGAGCCCCCGTTTAGCCCCTGTGGTGGACACATATGCCATGAGGGGAGGAGCCAATCAAAATTGGAACTCCCCCCACAGCACTGTCCACGACAGAGTTGCCCGTCCGGCACCGCGAGGAGGTAGGGGGTTGTTTTGCCGGACACACACACACACACACACACGCACACACACGCACGCGTACACGCACACACACGCACGCACGTGTACACGCACACACACACACGCACGCACACGTACACGCACACACACACGCACGCACACACACGCACGTGTACACACGCACGTGTGGTGATGAGGGGGGGGTGTGATGATGGTGTGGTGATGGTGGTTGATGTTGTGGTGGTGGTGGTGCAGGTGGGAGACATTGTGTACGTGCGGTGGTGGTGGTGATGATAGTGGTTGATGGTGATGTGGTGGTGATAGTGGTTGATGTGGTGGTGGTGGTGGTGGTGATGTGGTGGTGATAGTGGTTGATGTTGTGGTGGTGGTGGTGATGATAGTGGTTGATGGTGATGTGGTGGTTGATGTGGTGGTGGTGGTGTTGGTGGTGATGCAGGTGGGAGACATTGTGTACGTGCGGTGGTGGTGGTGATGATAGTGGTTGATGGTGATGTGGTGGTGATAGTGGTTGATGTTGTGGTGGTGGTGGTGGTGGTGGTGGTGATGTGGTGGTGATAGTGGTTGATGTTGTGGTGGTGGTGGTGGTGGTGATGTGGTGGTGATAGTGGTTGATGTTGTGGTGGTGGTGGTGATGATAGTGGTTGATGGTGATGTGGTGGTTGATGTGGTGGTGGTGGTGGTGTTGGTGGTGATGCAGGTGGGAGACATTGTGTACGTGCGGAGTGAGGAGTCGTTCCCGTGCCGTGGTGGTGATGGTGGTGATGATAGTGGTTGATGGTGATGTGGTGGTGATAGTGGGTGATGATGTGGTGGTGGTGGTGGTGGTGATGATAGTGGTTGATGGTGATGTGGTGGTGATAGTGGGTGATGATGTGGTGGTGGTGGTGGTGGTGATGATAGTGGTTGATGGTGATGTGGTGGTGATAGTGGGTGATGATGTGGTGGTGGTGGTGGTGGTGGTGATGATAGTGGTTGATGGTGATGTGGTGGTGATAGTGGTTGATGGTGATGTGGTGGTGATAGTGGGTGATGATGTGGTGGTGGTGGTGGTGATGATAGTGGTTGATGGTGATATGGTGGTGATAGTGGGTGATGTTGTGGTGGTGATGATGATGATGCAGGTGGGAGACATTGTGTACGTGCGGAGTGAGGAGTCGTTCCTGTGCGGTGGTGGTGGTAGTGGTGATAGTGGGTGATGTTGTGGTGGTGGTGGTGTTGGTGATGATGATGCAGGTGGGAGACATTGTGTACGTGCGGAGTGAGGAGTCGTTCCCGTGCCGTGGTGTTGGTGTTGGTGATAGTGGTTGATGTTGTGGTGGTGTTGGTGGTGATGATGATGCAGGTGGGAGACATTGTGTACGTGCAGAGTGAGGAGTCGTTCCCGTGCTGTGGTGGTGGTGGTTGATGGTTGATGGTGATGTGGTGGTTGATGTTGTGTTGGTGGTGTTGGTGGTGATGATGATGCAGGTGGGAGACATTGTGTACGTGCGGAGTGAGGAGTCGTTCCCGTGCCGTGGTGGTGATAGTGGTTGATGGTGATGTGGTGGTGATAGTGGTTGATGTTGTGGTGGTGATGATGTTGGTGATGATGATGCAGGTGGGAGACATTGTGTACGTGTGGAGTGAGGAGTCGTTCCCGTGCTGTGGTGTTGGTGTTAGTGATGATAGTGGGTGATGTTGTGGTGGTGATGATGTTGGTGATGATGATGCAGGTGGGAGACATTGTGTACGTGCAGAGTGAGGAGTCGTTCCCGTGCTGTGGTGGTGGTGGTGGTTGATGGTTGATGGTGATGTGGTGGTTGATGTTGTGTTGGTGGAGTTGGTGGTGATGATAGTGGTTGATGTTGATGTTGTGGTGATGATGATGCAGGTGGGAGGACATTGTGTACGTGCGGAAGTGAGGAGTCGTTCCCGTGCGACCTTGTGCTGCTCACTTCCAACTGGAGCGATGGGCGAGCACTTGTCACCACGGCGAGCCTGGACGGCGAGACCGACCTCAAGGTCGCTCGGAGTCACCCACAGAGTCACCCACAGAGTCACCCACAGAGTCACCCACACGGTCACCCACACGGTCACCCACATGGTCACCCACACAGTCACCCACACAGTCACCCACAGAGTCACCCACAGAGTCACCCACACGGTCACCCACACGGTCACCCACATGGTCACCCACACAGTCACCCACACAGTCACCCACAGAGTCACCCACAGAGTCACCCACACGGTCACCCACACGGTCACCCACACGGTCACCCACACGGTCACAAACACAGTCACCCACAGAGTCACCCACCACGGTCACCCACACGGTCACCCACACGGTCACCCACGCGGTCACCCACACGGTCACCCACACGGTCACCCACACAGTCACCCACACGGTCACCCACACGGTCACCCACGCGGTCACCCACAGAGTCACCCACAGTCACCCACACGGTCACCCACACAGTCACCCACACGGTCACCCACACGGTCACCCACACGGTCACCCACAGTCACCCACACGGTCACCCACACGGTCACCCACAGAGTCACCCACACAGTCACCCACAGAGTCACCCACGCGGTCACCCACACGGTCACCCACACGGTCACCCACGCGGTCACCCACACAGTCACCCACAGAGTCACCCACACGGTCACCCACACGGATCACCCACAGAGTCACCCACACGGTCACCCACGCGGTCACCCACACAGTCACCCACAGAGTCACCCACACGGTCACCCACACGGTCACCCACGCGGTCACCCACACAGTCACCCACAGAGTCACCCACACAGTCACCCACACGGTCACCCACAGAGTCACCCACACAGTCACCCTCACAGTCACCCACACGGTCACCCACAGAGTCACCCACACGGTCACCCACGCGGTCACCCACAGAGTCACCCACAGAGTCACCCACAGAGTCACCCACACAGTCACCCACACAGTCATCCACACGGTCACCCACACAGTCACCCACACAGAGTCACCCACACAGTCACCCACACAGTCATCCACACGGTCACCCACACGGTCACCCACACGGTCACCCACACGGTCACCCACACAGTCACCCACACGATCACCCACACAGTCATCCACACAGTCACCGGCCTAGTCACCCACAGAGTCACCCACACGGTCACCCACACAGTCACCCACACGGTCACCCACACGGTCACCCACACAGTCACCGGCCTAGTCACCCACAGAGTCACCCACACGGTCACCCACACAGTCACCCACAGAGTCACCCACAGAGTCACCCACAGAGTCACCCACACGGTCACCCACACAGTCACCCACACGGTCACCCACACAGTCACCCACACAGTCACCCACAGAGTCACCCACGCGGTCACCCACACGGTCACCCACAGAGTCACCCACGCGGTCACCTACAGTCACCCACACGGTCACCCGCACAGTCACCCACACAGTCACCCACACAGTCACCGGCCTAGTCACCCACACAGTCACCCACACGGTCACCCACACGGTCACCCACACGGTCACCCACAGAGTCACCCACACGGTCACCCACACGGTCACCCACGCGGTCACCCACACGATCACCCACACAGTCACCCACACGGTCACCCACAGAGTCACCCACAGAGTCACCCACACAGTCACCCACAGAGTCACCCACATGGTCACCCACACGGTCACCCACACGGTCACCCACAGAGTCACCCAGAGAGTCACCCAGACGGTCACCCACACAGTCACCCAGACGGTCACCCACACAGTCACCCACACAGTCACCCACGCGGTCACCCACAGAGTCACCCACACAGTCACCCACACAGTCACCCACCTAGTCACCCACACGGTCACCCACACGGTCACCCACACGGTCACCCACACAGTCACCCACACAGTCACCCACACAGTCACCCACACAATCACCCAAACAGTCACCCACGCGGTCACCCACACGGTCACCCACACGGTCACCCACACAGTCACCCACACAATCACCCAGACAGTCACCCACACAGTCACCCACACGGTCACCCACAGAGTCACCCACACAATCACCCACACGGTCACCCACACGGTCACCCACACGGTCACCCACACGGTCACCCACACAGTCACCGGCCTAGTCACCCACACAGTCACCCACAGAGTCACCCACACAGTCACCCACACGATCACCCACACGGTCACCCACACGATCACCCACACGGTCACCCACACGATCACCCACACGGTCACCCACACAGTCACCCACAGAGTCACCCACACGGTCACCCACAGAGTCACCCACACGGTCACCCACACGGTCACCCACAGAGTCACCCACACGGTCACCCACACGGTCACCCACAGTCACCCACACGGTCACCCACACGGTCACCCACAGAGTCACCCACACAGTCACCCACAGAGTCACCCACGCGGTCACCCACACTGTCACCCACACGGTCACCCACGCGGTCACCCACACAGTCACCCACAGAGTCACCCACACGGTCACCCACACGGTCACCCACAGAGTCACCCACACGGTCACCCACGCGGTCACCCACACAGTCACCCACAGAGTCACCCACACGGTCACCCACACGGTCACCCACGCGGTCACCCACACAGTCACCCACAGAGTCACCCACACAGTCACCCACACGGTCACCCACAGAGTCACCCACACAGTCACCCTCACAGTCACCCACACGGTCACCCACAGAGTCACCCACACGGTCACCCACGCGGTCACCCACAGAGTCACCCACAGAGTCACCCACAGAGTCACCCACACAGTCACCCACACAGTCACCCACACAGTCACCCACACAGAGTCACCCACACAGTCACCCACACGGTCACCCACACGGTCACCCACACGGTCACCCACACGGTCACCCACAGTCACCCACACGATCACCCACACAGTCATCCACACAGTCACCGGCCTAGTCACCCACAGAGTCACCCACACGGTCACCCACACAGTCACCCACACGGTCACCCACACGGTCACCCACACAGTCACCGGCCTAGTCACCCACAGAGTCACCCACACGGTCACCCACAGAGTCACCCACAGAGTCACCCACAGAGTCACCCACACGGTCACCCACACAGTCACCCACACGTTCACCCACACAGTCACCCACACAGTCACCCACAGAGTCACCCACGCGGTCACCCACACGGTCACCCACAGAGTCACCCACGCGGTCACCTACAGTCACCCACACGGTCACCCGCACAGTCACCCACACAGTCACCCACACAGTCACCGGCCTAGTCACCCACACAGTCACCCACACGTTCACCCACACGGTCACCCACACGGTCACCCACAGAGTCACCCACACGGTCACCCACACGGCCACCCACGCGGTCACCCACACGATCACCCACACAGTCACCCACACGGTCACCCACAGAGTCACCCACAGAGTCACCCACACAGTCACCCACAGAGTCACCCACATGGTCACCCACACGGTCACCCACACGGTCACCCACAGAGTCACCCAGAGAGTCACCCAGACGGTCACCCACACAGTCACCCAGACGGTCACCCACACAGTCACCCACACAGTCACCCACGCGGTCACCCACAGAGTCACCCACACAGTCACCCACACAGTCACCCACACGGTCACCCACACGGTCACCCACACGGTCACCCACACGGTCACCCACACAGTCACCCACACAGTCACCCACACAGTCACCCACACAATCACCCAAACAGTCACCCACGCGGTCACCCACACGGTCACCCACACGGTCACCCACACAGTCACCCACACAATCACCCAGACAGTCACCCACACAGTCACCCACACGGTCACCCACAGAGTCACCCACACAATCACCCACACGGTCACCCACACGGTCACCCACACGGTCACCGGCCTAGTCACCCACACAGTCACCCACAGAGTCACCCACACAGTCACCCACACGATCACCCACACGGTCACCCACACGATCACCCACACGGTCACCCACACGATCACCCACACGGTCACCCACACAGTCACCCACAGAGTCACCCACACGGTCACCCACAGAGTCACCCACACGGTCACCCACACGGTCACCCACACAGTCACCCACACGATCACCCACACGGTCACCCACACGATCACCCACACGGTCACCCACACGATCACCCACACGGTCACCCACACAGTCACCCACAGAGTCACCCACACGGTCACCCACAGAGTCACCCACACGGTCACCCACACGGTCACCCACAGAGTCACCCACACGGTCACCCACACGGTCACCCGCTCACGGTCAACGTCAGCGACGATTATCTGAACCGGTCCTGAGCCTCCCCTAGGTCGACTCGGCCTCAAACGAGTAGCTGGTGTAGCGGTGTGAAGTAGTAAACATCGCCACTGGGGAGACAAAGGCGGCCGGGCGTGGTGTTGGTAGCCACCCACCCCCTCGTGTGCCACAGTGCCGGTAGCCTTCACAGGTGCTGCTCGCTAACAGCACTTGCCCCAACAGTCTGTTAGAGGCTACACGGGGGACCTTTGTCTGTGTCTACCTTCACAGGTGCTGCTGCTACTCGCTACTCACAGCACTTGCCCCTACAGCCTGTTAGAGGCTACACGGGGGAATTTTGTCTTTGGTGGTGGTTGTGGTGGTGGTGGTTGACAGACGTACTTGTTACCGTGATGGTGGTAATGGTGGTAATGGTGATGGTTGTGGTGGTGGTGGTTGTGGTGGTGGTGGTAATGGTGGTAATGGTGATGGTTGTGGTGATGGTTGTGGTGATGTTTGTGGTGGTGGTTGTGGTAATGGTGATGGTTGTGGTGATGATGTTTGTGGTGGTGGTTGTGGTGGTTGTTGACAGACGTACTTGGCCCCTGCTCGCTCGCCCCGCGTTCGCTCTCCCCAAGACTTTTCGGGGTTCTCCGCCGCTGTCGAATGTCGCCAGCCGCATCCCGACCTCTACAGGTGAGCTGGTGACCTCCGCAGGTGACCTCACGACCTCTGCTCGTGACCCCGCGACCTCGGAGGGCCTCTGCACGTGACACGATTACCTTGACCTCCGCGGGTGACCTGCTGACCTCCGCAGGTGACGGGTTGACCTCTACAGGTAACCGGTTGACCTCTATGGGTGACCTGGTGACCTCTTCGGGTGACCTCCACAGGTGATGGGTTGACCTCTACAGATGACCTCCACGGGTAACATGGTGACCTCCACGGGTCTGAGGTTTACCTGCACAGGTGATGGGTTGACCTCTACAGATGACCTCTGCAGGTGACCCGGTGACCTCTACAGTTGATACATTGACCTCCACGGGTAACCTGGTGACCTCCACGGGTGTGAGGTTTACCTCTACAGGTGAGGGGTTGACCTCTACAGGTGACCTGGTGACCTCTACACAGGTGAGGGGTTGACCTCTGAAGGTGACCTCTACAGGTGACCTCTACCAGCGAGGTATTGACCTCAACAGCTGGGACATTGACCTCCATGGGTGACCTCCGCGGGTGAGAGGTTGACCTCTACAGGTAACCTGGTGACCTCTGCAGGTGACCTCACGACCTCTACAGGCGAGGTATTGACAATTGAGACATTGACCGACAGGTGAGCTAACCTCTACAGGTGACCTGGTGACCTCTACTGGTGACCTCTACAGATTGCCCAATTACCCCTGCAGATGACCTGTTGACCTCTATAGGTAACCTGGTGACCTCTGCCTATAACCGTATTACCTGTACAGCTGATATGGCGTCTGTGACGTAATGACCTCTACGCACGACACGGTGACCTCTGTGCGTGACTTGATGCCATACATGTGGCCTGATGACCTGTGCAGGTGACCCATTGACCTGGGCATGTGGGCCAGTGACCTGTGCAGGTGACTGACCCTGCCCTTTGCCCTCAGGTTTGAAGGTCACATCACCATCCACAACGCGGAGGAAGCGGAGCTGAGCGTCCCTGAGTGAGTGAGCATGTTAGTGTGTGTTAGTGTGTGTGTGTTAGTGTGTGTGTTAGTGTGTGTTAGTGTGTGTGTTAGTGTGTGTGTTAGTGTGTGTGTTAGTGTGTGTGTTAGTGTGTGAAGCCTTCAATAGCTGTACCGGGGGAATCTCCATATGGTACAGATATAATGGGAGGCTGATCGATGCCCGGGTGCGGTCAAGGGATGGCTCCCTATTGCTCAACCACGTTATGTATGCTGATGATTTGGTAATAGCTGCTCAGTCAGAGGAGGAGTTGGAGACGCTGCTGCTGAGACTGGAGCGTGCCCCTAAGAGGTGGGGCCTTACCATCAGCCCCACCAAAACTAAGCACCTGCCTGGGTATTTTGTGCCATCGGACACTCCACCCCCACAACTCCCGATCGGTGATGGGGCAGTTGTGGAGAGAGTGGAGAGTTTCCCATACCTGGGTAGTGTGCTTATGATTGTATCCAGTTTAACAGCAGAGGTCTCACTCCGAATCAGTCGAGCGGCAATATCTTTTCATCGGTTGCGTAACGCTGTGTGGAAGCTACCTGGTCTGTCGCTCCGCACTAAGCTTCAGGTCTTCTCGGCCACGGTCATTCCCTCCCTTCTCTACGCTTGCGAAACGTGGACCCCCTGAATGGAACATCTTCGCCGGTTAGAAACATTTAGGCTGGCCTGCCTACGATCCTTCCTGGGTTTAACCAGACTGGATTGTGTGAGGAGCTCACAAATCCTTGAAAGATCTGGGCAAGGTCCCATCGGTGAGCTCCTCCGGCGGGGAAGGCTGCGATGGCTGGGTCATGTAGCCCGCATGCCCAGCCACCGCATGCCGAAACAGCTTTTGTTCGGCCGGATTGAGGGGGCTAAGCGGGCGCGGCACGGGCTAGAGAAGAGATGGAGTGATGTGGTACAGGAGGACGTGGAGCTGAGTGGACTTGCCGATGACTGGTACCAGCGGTGTCAAGATCGGCCTCTATGGAGGAGGCTCGTGAAGGACGCTACTGGGCAGTTGGAGGCAGTCGCCCCTCCAACAACAACGGAGGGCGGAGGAGCGACGCTCACAACAACGAGCGGAGCGCCGGGTGGATAAAGCACAGCAGGTTGCCACAATAGGGGGCACAAGTGGTGCATCAGCCAGTCATCTCAGTCATCTCAGTCAGTCGACTCGTGGCACCTGGGTCTTCCCCGTGACCTCCTGCCAGCGGGCGTTCGACACTTCACGTGTCCTCAGGGTGCACATAGCCTGGCACAAGCGTCGTGGTGACGTCACCGCCACTTAGTGGCGAATGGCGGTTGTTGTTGTTTGTGTGTGTTAGTGTGTGTGTGTGTTTTAGTGTGTATTTGTGTGTGTGTGTGTGTTTGTGTGTGTGTGTGTGTGTTTGTGTGTTAGTGTGTTTTAGTGTGTGTTAGTGTGTGTGTTTGTGAGTGTGTTAGTGTGTGTTAGTTAGTCTGTGTGTGTTAGTGTGTGTGTGTTAGTGTGTGTTATTGTGTTTTAGTGTGTGTTTGTGTGTGTGTTTGTGTGTGTGTTTGTGTGTTTAGTGTGTGTGTTAGTGTGTGTGTTAGTGTGTGTGTTAGTGTGTGTGTTTGTGAGTGTGTTAGTGTGTGTTACTTAGTCTGTGTATGTTAGTGTGTGTGTGTTAGTGTATGTGTGTTAGTGTGTTTTAGTGTTTGTGTGTTAGTGTGTGTTAGGGTGCACATAGCCTGGCACAAGCGTCGTGGTGACGTCACCGCCACTTAGTGGCGAATGGCGGTTGTTGTTGTTGTTGTTGTTTGTGAGTGTGTTAGTGTGTGTTAGTGTTTGTGTGTGTTTGTGTGTTTTAGTGTGTGTGTGTTAGTGTGTGTGTGTGTGTGCTTGTGTGTGTGTGTGCTTTTGTGTGTGTGTGTTTGTGTGTTTTAGTGTGTGTTTGTGTGTTTTAGTGTGTGTTTGTGTGTGTGTGTTTGTGTGTTTTAGTGTGTGTTTGTGTGTGTGTTAGTGTGTGTGTGTGTGTTAGTGTGTGTGTTAGTTAGTGTGTGAGTGTGTTAGTGTGTGAGTGTGTTAGTGTGTGTGTTAGTGTGTGTGTGTTAGTGTGTGAATGTGTGTTTGTGTGTGTGTGTGTGTAGGGAGACAAAAGCGGTCGGGCGTGGTGCTGGCCACCCACCCCCTCGTGTACCGTTCCGGCATTCATAGGTGCTCGCTAACAGCACTTGCCCCTACAGTCTGTTAAGGCTATATGGGGGATCTTTGTCTTTGTGTGTTGGTGTGTGTGTGTTGGTGTGTATGTGTGTTAGCATGTGTGTGTGTGTTAGTGTGTGTGTGTGTGTGTGTTAGTGTGTGTGTGTGTAGTGGGGAGCGATAGTGTAGCGGGGAGCGATAGTGTAGCGGTTAGCGCGCTGTGCGATGAACCTGCCGACCCGGGTTCGATTCCCGCTCACGGCCAACACCAGTGACGATTATCTGAACTGGTCCTGGGCCTCCCCTAGGTCGACGCAGCCTCAAATGAGTACCTGGTGCGGTGTGTAAAACATTGCCACGAGGGAGACAAAGGCGGCCGGGCGTGGTGCTGACCACCCACCCCCTCGTGTACCGTTCCGGCCTTAATAGGTGCTGCTCGCTAACAGCACTTGCCCTTACAGTCTGTTAAGGCTATAAGGGGGATCTTTGTCCTTTTTGCGTGTGTTAGTGAGTGTGTTAGTGAGTGTGTTAGTGAATGTGTTTTTGAGTGTGAGTGTGTTAGTGTCTCTATGTATCTGCGTGTTTGGGTTTAACCAGGCTGGGTTGTGTGAGGAGCTCACAAATCCTTGAAAGATCTGGGCAAGGTCCCATCGGTGAGCTCCTCCGGCAGGCAAGGCTGCGATGGCTGGGTCATGTAGCCCGCATGCCCAGCCACCGCATGCCGAAACAGCTTTTGTTCGGCCGGATCGAGGGGGCTAAACGGGCACGTCACGGGCTAGAGAAGAGATGGAGTGATGTGGTACAGGAGGACGTGGAGCTGAGTAGACTTGCCAATGTCCATCGAACCCAATTCGATTCCCGCTCACGGTCAACACCGGCGACGATTTTCTGAACCGGTCCTGGGCCCCTCTCCCCTAGGTCGACTCGGCCTCCTCAGACGAGTAGCTGGTGTAGCGGTGTGTAGTGAACATCGCCACTCGGGGAGACAAAGGCGGCCGGGCGTGGTGCTGGTAGCCACCCACCCACCCCCCTCGTGTGCCACAGTGCCGGTAGCCTTCACAGGTGCTGCTCGCTAACAGCACTTGCCCCTACAGTCTGTTAGAGGCTACACGGGGGACCTTTGTCTGTGTCTACCTTCACAGGTGCTGCTCGCTAACAGCACTTGCCCCGACATTCTGTTGAGGCTGTACCCGGGGGGGGGGGGGAGGGGTGGGCGACACACCTTGACCTTTGTGCTTAGCGACTGAGCGGAGGGTTGAACTCTCGCACCTCCAGCTCGCTGGGCCCTGAGAATCTGCTGCTGCGTGGATCCAGACTCAAGAACACCGACTTCATCTACGGTGAGTAGTGGGGGGGGGGTGGTGGTGGTGGTGGTGGTGGTGGGTGGGTGGGGTGGTGGTGGTGGTGGGTGGGGTGGTGGTGGTGGTGGGGGGTTTGTGGGCTCCTCCGTCGAGGACCGCAAGGGTTTGCTGTGTCGTGACACTTTGAAATCATCTCAGATTTTGAACTCAGTTTCTTTGAAACTGCGTACGGTGCGAAAGAAGTTCACCGTACACACACAGAGGCCCAGACTCAGCACTGCACCATAGACTCAGCACTGCACCATAGACTCAGCACTGCACCATAGACTCAACACTGCCCATAGACTCAACACTGCACCATAGACTCAACACTGCACCATAGACTCAGCACTGCACCATAGACTCAGCACTGCACCATAGACTCAACACTGCACCATAGACTCAACACTGCACCATAGACTCAACACTGCACCATAGACTCAGCACTGCACCATAGACTCAACACTGCACCATAGACTCAGCACTGCCCATAGACACAACACTGCACCATAGACTCAGCACTGCACCATAGACTCAACACTGCACCATAGAGTCAACACTGCACCATAGACTCAGCACTGCACCATAGACTCAACACTGCACCATAGACTCAACAGTGCACCATAGACTCAACACTGCACGTAGACTCAACACTGCACCATAGACTCAACACTGCTCCATAGACTCAACACTGCACATAGACTCAGCACTGCACCATAGACTCAACACTGCCCATAGACTCAACACTGCACCATAGACTCAGCACTGCCCATAGACACAACACTGCACCATAGACTCAACACTGCACCATAGACTCAACACTGCACCATAGACTCAACACTGCACCATAGACTCAGCACTGCTCATAGACTCAACACTGCACCATAGACTCAACACTGCACCGTAGACTCAACACTGCACCATAGACTCAGCACTGCACCATAGACTCAACACTGCACCATAGACTCAACACTGCACCGTAGACTCAACACTGCACATAGACTCAGCACTGCACCATAGACTCAGCAGTGCACCATAGACTCAACACTGCACCATAGACTCAACACTGCACTATAGACTCAACACTGCACCATAGACTCAACACTGCACCATAGACTCAACACTGCACCATAGACTCAGCACTGCTCATAGACTCAACACTGCACCATAGACTCAACACTGCACCGTAGACTCAACACTGCACCATAGACTCAACACTGCACCATAGACTCAGCACTGCACCATAGACTCAACACTGCACCATAGACTCAACACTGCACATAGACTCAGCACTGCACCATAGACTCAGCACTGCACCATAGACTCAACACTGCACCATAGACTCAACACTGCACTATAGACTCAACACTGTACCATAGACTCAACACTGCACCATAGACTCAGCACTGCACCATAGACTCAGCACTGCACAATAGACTCAGCACTGCACCATAGACTCAGCACTGCACCATAGACTCAGCACTGCACAATAGACTCAGCACTGCCCATAGACACAACACTGCACCATAGACTCAACACTGCACCATAGACTCAGCACTGCACCGTAGACACAGCACTGCACCATAGACTCAGCACTGCACAATAGACTCAGCACTGCACCATACACTCAGCACTGCTCATAGACTCAATACTGCACCATAGACTCAGCACTGCACCATAGACTCAGCACTGCACCATAGACTCAACACTGCACCATAGACTCAACACTGCACTATAGACTCAACACTGTACCATAGACTCAACACTGCACCATAGACTCAGCACTGCACCATAGACTCAGCACTGCACAATAGACTCAGCACTGCACCATAGACTCAGCACTGCACCATAGACTCAGCACTGCACAATAGACTCAGCACTGCCCATAGACACAACACTGCACCATAGACTCAACACTGCACCATAGACTCAGCACTGCACCGTAGACACAGCACTGCACCATAGACTCAGCACTGCACCATAGACTCAGCACTGCACCATACACTCAGCACTGCTCATAGACTCAACACTGCACCATAGACTCAGCACTGCACCATAGACTCAGCACTGCACCATAGACTCAACACTGCACCATAGACTCAACACTGCCCATAGACTCAGCACTGCACCATAGACTCAACATTGCACCAGAGACTCAGCACTGCACCATAGACTCAACACTGCACCATAGACTCAACATTGCACCAGAGACTCAGCACTGCACCATAGACTCAACACTGCACCATAGACTCAACACTGCACCATAGACTCACCACTGCTCATAGACTCAGCACTGCACCATAGACTCAACACTGCACCATAGACTCAACACTGCACCATAGACTCAACACTGCACCATAGACTCAGCACTGCACCATAGACTCAGCACTGCACCATAGACTCAGCACTGCACCATAGACTCAGCACTGCACCATAGACTCAGCACTGCACCATAGTCTCAGCACTGCACCATAGACTCAACATTGCTCATAGACTCAACACTGCACCATAGACTCAACACTGCGCCATAGACTCAACATTGCTCATAGACTCAACACTGCACCACAGACTCGACACCGCACCATAGACTCAGCGCTGCACCATAGACTCAACACCGCACCATAGACTCAGCGCTGCACCATAGACTCAACACTGCACGTAGACTCAACACGGCACCATAGACTCAACACTGCACCATAGACTCAACATTGCTCATAGACTCAACACTGCACCATAGACTCAACACTGCACCATAGACTCAACACTGCACCATAGACTCAACACTGCACCATAGACTCAACACTGCACCATAGACTCAACACTGCCCCATAGACTCAACACTGCACCATAGACTCAACACTGCACCATAGACTCAGCACTGCACAATAGACTCAGCACTGCACCATAGACTCAGCACTGCACCATAGACTCAGCACTGCACAATAGACTCAGCACTGCCCATAGACACAACACTGCACCATAGACTCAACACTGCACCATAGACTCAGCACTGCACCGTAGACACAGCACTGCACCATAGACTCAGCACTGCACCATAGACTCAGCACTGCACCATACACTCAGCACTGCTCATAGACTCAACACTGCACCATAGACTCAGCACTGCACCATAGACTCAGCACTGCACCATAGACTCAACACTGCACCATAGACTCAACACTGCCCATAGACTCAGCACTGCACCATAGACTCAACATTGCACCAGAGACTCAGCACTGCACCATAGACTCAACACTGCACCATAGACTCAACATTGCACCAGAGACTCAGCACTGCACCATAGACTCAACACTGCACCATAGACTCAACACTGCACCATAGACTCAACACTGCTCATAGACTCAGCACTGCACCATAGACTCAACACTGCACCATAGACTCAACACTGCACCATAGACTCAACACTGCACCATAGACTCAGCACTGCACCATAGACTCAGCACTGCACCATAGACTCAGCACTGCACCATAGACTCAGCACTGCACCATAGACTCAGCACTGCACCATAGTCTCAGCACTGCACCATAGACTCAACATTGCTCATAGACTCAACACTGCACCATAGACTCAACACTGCGCCATAGACTCAACACTGCACCATAGACTCAGCACTGCACCATAGACTCAGCACTGCACCATAGACTCAACATTGCTCATAGACTCAACACTGCACCACAGACTCGACACCGCACCATAGACTCAGCGCTGCACCATAGACTCAACACCGCACCATAGACTCAGCGCTGCACCATAGACTCAACACTGCACCATAGACTCAACACTGCACCATAGACTCAACACTGCACCATAGACTCAGCACTGCACCATAGACTCAACACTGCACCATAGACTCAACACTGCACGTAGACTCAACACGGCACCATAGACTCAACACTGCACCATAGACTCAACATTGCTCATAGACTCAACACTGCACCATAGACTCAACACTGCACCATAGACTCAACACTGCACCATAGACTCAACACTGCACCATAGACTCAACACTGCACCATAGACTCAACACTGCCCCATAGACTCAACACTGCACCATAGACTCAACACTGCTCCATAGACTCAACACTGCACCATAGACTCAACACTGCCCATAGATTCAACACTGCACCATAGACTCAACACTGCCCCATAGACTCAACACTGCACCATAGACTCAACACTGCACCATAGACTCAACACTGCACCATAGACTCAACACTGCCCATAGACTCAACACTGCACCATAGACTCAACACTGCCCCATAGACTCAACACTGCCCCATAGACTCAACACTGCACCATAGACTCAACACTGCACCATAGACTCAACACTGCACCATAGACTCAACACTGCCCATAGACTCAACACTGCACCATAGACTCAACACTGCCCCATAGACTCAACACTGCCCCATAGACTCAACACTCCACACCTCCCAGTAGCACGATTGGCTACGTACGGTGCGAAAGAAGTTCAGCATACATGTACAAAGACAAAGATCCCCCACACAGCCTTAACAGACTGTAGGGGCAAGTGCTGTTAGCGAAGGCCGGCACGGCATTTGAGGGGGTGGGTGGCCAGCACCACGCCCGGCCGGCTTTGTCTCCCTAGTGGCGATGTTCACTACACACCGCACCAGGTACTCATTTGAGGCTGAGTCTACCTAGGGGAGGCCCAGGACCGGTTCAGATAATCGTCACTAGTTGTGTTGGCCGTGAGCGGGAATCGAACCCGGGTCGCCAGGTTCATAGCGCAGCGTAGCGCTAACCGCTACACTACCGCTCCCCACAACACAAAGACAAAGATCCCCCATATAGCCTTAACACACACACACACGTACACACACTGGTACACACACATACGTACACACACACACACTGGTACGCACACTGGTACACGTACACACACAGGTACACACACACTTACACACACTGGTACGCACTCACACACGCACACACACTGTTACACGTACACACACTGGTACACACACACGTACACATACTGGTGCACACACGTACACACACTGGTACACACACACTGCTACACACACTGGTACACTCGCATGTACACACACACATACGTACACACACTGGTACACACACGTACACACACACACGTACACACACTGGTACACACACATCTACACGTACACACACGTACACACACACACGTACACACGTACACACACGTACACACACACACGTACACACACACACGTACACACACTGGTACACACACATCTACACGTACACACACGTACACACACGTACACACGTACACACACACACGTACACACACTGGTACACACACATGTACACGTACGTACACACACACGTACACGTACACACACACACGTACACACACACGTACACACACACGCGCACGCACCAGCATAGACCCGCACATCCCGCGCACGTGCGTCAAACGTCTCCCGTGACCCCCGCACGTAGCCCAAGCGCGCTCACCGCAAGCGCCGTGCCAGAGGAGGTGCCAGAGGCCCCCCCCCCCCCCCCCCCCACTGAAGCCTTCGGGGTCCGGCTCGGGGCTCTCTTGCACGAGGGGGGGGGGGGGTAGCCCGGTCGACGGGCAGCTAACCGTTAACCGCAAACCACAAACCGCTAACCGCTAACCACAAACCACAAACCGCTAACCGTAAACCGTTAACCACAAACCGCTAAACACAAACCACAAACCGCTAACCACAAACCGCTAACCACAAACCTTTAACCACAAACCGCTAACCACAAACTGCTAACCACAAACCGTTAACCACAAACCGCTAACCACAAACCGCTAACCACAAACCGCAAACCGCTAACCACAAACCGGTAACCATTCACCGCTAACCACTAACCACTAACCGCTAACCGTTTACCACAAACCGCTATCCGCCGGCGTTTGCGTGGCGTCTGCAGGTGCTGCAGTCTACACCGGCATGGAGACCAAGATGGCCCTCAACTATCGCTCCAAGTCGCAGAAACGCTCCGTCGTCGAAGTGTAAGTCTCTCCCGTGTGTACGCGCGTGTGTACTTGTGTGTACTTGTGTGTGTACGTGTGTGTGTACGTGTGTGTACTTGTGTGTACTTGTCTGTGTGTGTGTACGTGTGTGTGTACGTGTGTGTGTACGTGTGTGTGTGTGTGTACGTGTGTGTACGTGTGTGTGTACGTGTGTGTGTACGTGTGTGTGTGTATGTGTGTGTGTGTACGCGCGTGTGTACTTGTGTGTACGTGTGTACTTGTGTGTGTGTACGTGTGTGTACGTGTGTGTGTGTGTGTATGTGTACGTGTGTGTGTGCGTGTGTGTGTATGTGTACGTGTGTGTGTACGTGTGTGTGTGTGTGTGTACGTGTGTGTGTGTGTGTGTACGTGTGTGTGTGTGTGTGTGTACGTGTGTGTGTGTACGTGTGTGTGTGTGTGTGTACGTGTGTGTACGCGCGTGTGTACGTGTGTGTGTGTGTACGCGCAGGTCCATGAACTCGTTCCTGCTGGTCTACCTGTGCCTGCTGCTGTGCGAGGCGCTGCTGGGCGTGGTGCTCAAGTCGGTGTGGCAGCTCGACGCCCGGCGGGGCGGCGCGGGCGCCTGGTACAACGAGGCCCCCCCACAGGGACCCGCCCAGCGCAGCGCGGTGTGGCCAGCGTCACACTCAGCGCGTCACACTCAGAGCGTCACACTCAGCACGTCACACTCAGAGCGTCACACTCAGCACGTCACACTCAGTGTCACGCTCAGAGCGTCACACTCAGCACGTCACACTCAGTGTCACGCTCAGAGCGTCACACTCAGCACGTCACACGTCACACTCAACGTCACACTCAGCACGTCACACAGCGTCACACTCAGAGCGTCACACTCAGCACGTCACACACGTCACGTCACACTCAGCACGTCACACACAGTGTCACACTCAGTGTCACACTCAGCACGTCACACACAGTGTCACACTCAGTGTCACACTCAGCGCGTCACACTCAGCACGTCACACTCAGCACGTCACACTCAGCACGTCACACTCAGAGCGTCACACTCAGTGTCACACTCGGCACGTCACACTCAGCACGTCACACAGCGTCACACTCAGCACGTCACACAGCGTCACACTCAGCACGTCACACAGCGTCACACTCGGCACGTCACACAGCGTCACACTCAGCACGTCACACAGCGTCACACTCAGCACGTCACACTCAGAGCGTCACACTCAGCACGTCACACTCGGCGCGTCACACTCAGCACGTCACACTCAGCACGTAGCACGTCACACTCAGCGCGTCACACTCAGAGCGTCACACTCAGAGCGTCACACTCAGCACGTCACACGTCACACTCAGCGTCACACTCAGAGCGTCACACAGCGTCACACTCGGCACGTCACACTCAGCACGTCACACTCAGCACATCACACTCAGCACATCACACTCAGCACGTCACACTCAGAGCGTCACACTCAGCACGTCACACTCAGCACGTCACATTCAGTGTCACACTCGGCACGTCACACTCAGCACGTCACACTCAGCACGTCACACTCAGAGCGTCACACTCAGCGCGTCACACTCAGCACGTCACACTCAGCACGTCACACAGCGTCACACTCAGCACGTCACACTCAGCACGTCATACCCAGTGTCACGCTCAGAACGTCACACACAGCGCGTCACACTCAGCATGTCACACTCAGCACGTCACACACAGCACGTCACACTCAGCGCGTCACACTCAGCACGTCACACTCAGCACGTCACACTCAGCACGTCACACTCAGCACGTCACACACAGCGCGTCACACTCAGCACGTCACACTCAGCACGTCACACTCAGTGTCACACTCAGCGCGTCACACTCAGTGTCACACTCAGCGCGTCACACACAGCACGTCACACTCAGCACGTCACACTCAGCACGTCACACTCAGCGCGTCACACTCAGCACGTCACACTCAGCACGTCACACTCAGCACGTCACACTCAGCACGTCACACAGCGTCACACTCAGCACGTCACACTCGGCACGTCACACTCAGCGCGTCACACTCAGCACGTCACACTCAGCATGTCACACAGCGTCACACTCAGCACGTCACACTCGGCACGTCACACTCGGCGCGTCACACTCAGCGCGTCACACTCAGCGCGTCACACTCAGCACGTCACACTCAGCACGTCACACTCGGCACGTCACACTCGGCACGTCACACTCAGAGCATCACACTCAGCACGTCACACTCGGCACGTCACACTCAGCACGTCACACTCGGCACGTCACACTCAGCACGTCACACTCAGCACGTCACACTCGGCACGTCACATTTAGCACGTCACACTCAGCACGTCACACTCAGCACGTCACACGTCACACTCAGCACGTCACACTCAGCGTCACACTCAGCACGTCACACTCAGCGCGTCACACTCAGCACGTCACACGTCACACTCAGCACGTCTCACAGCGTCACACTCGGCACATCACACACGGCACGTCACACTCAGCACGTCACACTCAGCACGTCACACTCAGCGCGTCACACTCAGCACGTCACACAGCGTCACGCTCGGCGCGTCTCCGCAGACGCTCCAGTTCCTGGTGGACTTCCTGGACTTTCTGATCCTCTTCAACTACGTCATCCCCGTGTCGCTCTACGTCACCGTGGAGATGCAGAAGTTCCTGGGCTCTCGCTTCATCGGCTGGGACCCTCGCCTGGCTCACGGAGCACAAGAGGCTCTCGTCAACACTTCGGACGTCAACGAGGAACTGGGACAGGCACGCTCGCTCGCTCCCTCACCCGCACGCTCGCTCGCACGCTCGCTCACACGCCCGCACGCTCGCTCGCTCACACGCTGACCCGCCCGCCCACTCGCTCGCCCGCTCGTCCGCCCGCCCGCACGCTCGCTCACCTGCTCACTTGTTCGACGACTCGCTCGCCCGCTCGCCTGCTCGCTTGCTCATAGGCTTGCTCGCCTGGTCACCAGCTCCCTCGCACGCTCGCTCGTTCGCCCGCTCACCCGCTCACCCGCTCCCTCACCCACATGCTCGCTCACCCGCTCACCCGCTCCCTCACCCGCTCGCTCGCTCACCCGCTCGCCCAGCTGCTTGCCCAGTCGCTCGCTAATATGCTCGCTCGTAGCGGCGAGAAGGCACTCCCATACACCTGGTGATGGTGCTACTACTCGTGGTGGTGGTGGTGATGGTGGTGGTGTGATGGTGGTGGTGGTGATGATGATGGTGGTGGTGGTGATGGTGGTGTGATAGTGGTGGTGATGGTGGTGGTGATGATGTTGGTGGTGGTGATGGTGGTGGTGGTGATGGTGGTGATGGTGGTGTGATGGTGGTGGTGATGGTGGTGGTGATGATGGTGGTGTGATGGTGGTGGTGATGGTGGTGATGGTGGTGTGATGGTGGTGATGTTGGTGGTGATGGTGGTGGTGATGTTGGTGATGGTGGTGGTGGTGATGATGATGATGGTGGTGGTGGTAATGGTGGTGTGATAGTGGTGGTGATGGTGGTGGTGTGATGGTGGTGATGGTGGTGGTGTGATGGTGGTGTGATGGTGGTGTGATGGTGGTGTGATGGTGGTGGTGGTGATGTTGGTGGTGATGGTGGTGGTGATGGTGGTGTGATGGTGGTGATGGTGATGATGATGATGGTGGTGTGATAGTGGTGGTGATGGTGGTGATGATGTTGGTGGTGGTGGTGGTGATGGTGGTGGTGATGGTGGTGTGATGGTGGTGGTGGTGATGATGGTGGTGTGATGATGGTGGTGATGGTGGTGGTGGTGTGATGGTGGTGTGATGGTGGTGATGGTGGTGGTGATGGTGGTGGTGGTGTGGTGGTGGTGGTGGTGATGGTGGTGATGGTGGTGATGGTGGTGTGATGGTGGTGGTGATGGTGGTGGTGATGGTGGTGTGATGGTGGTGGTGTGATGGTGGTGGTGGTGGTGGTGATGGTGGTGTGATGGTGGTGATTGTGGTGGTGATGGTGGTGGTGGTGATAGTGGTGGTGGTGATAGTGGTGGTGGTGATAGTGGTGGTGGTGATAGTGGTGGTGGTGATGATGATGATGGTGGTGATGGTGGTGTCATGGTGGTGATGATGGTGATGGTGGTGATGATGGTGGTGATGTTGGTGGTGATGGTGGTGGTGTTTCAGGTGGAGTACGTGCTCACAGACAAGACGGGCACCCTCACAGAGAACGTGATGAACCTCAAGAAGCTGAGCCTCGGAGGAGTCAAGTACCAGGTTCAGCACGGGGAGATGGTGCCCGAGGCCGGAGAGGAGGAGAGGGGAGGCCCAGGGATAGACACCATGGTACACACACACGTACACACACACAGGTACACGCACACGTACACGCACACGTACACACACACACGTACACACACACACAGGTACACACACACAGGTACACACACACACAGGTACACACACAGGTACACACATACGCACACGTACACACACACACGTACACGTACACACACACGTACACACATACACGCACGTACACACACACACAGGTACACACACACGTACACACACAGGTACACACACACAGGTACACACACACACACAGGTACACACACACACAGGTACACACACACACAGGTACACACACACAGGCACACGTACACACCATGGTACACACACACACACACAGGTACACACACATACGTACACACACACGCACATGCACGTACACACACACACGTACACACATACACACACGTACACACACAGGTACACACACACACGCACGTACACACATGCACGTACACACACGCACACGTACACACACACACGCACACGTACACACACATGTACACACACACACACAGGTACACACACGCACACGTACACACACACACGCACGTACACACACACACACGTACACACACACACGCACACGTACACACACACACGTACACACACACACGCACGTACACACACGCACACACACACACGTACACACACATGTACACACACACGTACACACACACGTACACACACACACGCACGTACACACACGCACACACAGGCACACACACACGCACACGTACACACACGCACACGTACACACACACGTACACACACACACGTACACACACACGCACGTACACACACACGCACGTACACACACTCACACGCATGTACACACGCAAACGTACACGCAAACGTACACACACACGTACACACGCACGTACACACATGCACACACACACACACACGTACACACACACACACGTACATACACACACACACGTACATACACACACACAAGTACACACACACGTGTACACACGTACACACACACACGCACATACACACACGTACACACACACATGCACGTACACACACGCACGTACACATAACGTACACACACAACAACAACCGCCATTCGCCACTATGTGGCGGTGACGTCACCACGACGCTTGTGCCAGGCTATGTGCACCTTGAGGCGGAGTGAAGTGTCGAACGCCCGCTGGCAGGAGGTCACTGGGCAGACCCAGGTGCCACGGGTCGACTGACTGAGATGACTTGCTGATGCACCACCTGTGCCCCCTACTGTGCCAACCTGCTGTGCCTTAGTCACCCAGCGCTCCGCTCGTTGTTGTGAGCGTCGCTCCTCTGCCCTCCGTTGTTGCTGGAGGGCGACTGCCTCCAACTGCCCAGTAGCGTCCTTCACGAGCCTCCGTGATGATGATGAGAGAGAGAGAGAGACGCAGACTCCACATATACAGCAGCAGCAGGCATCCTCAAGGTCGGGATCGAACCCACGACCTCCTGCGCACCAGGCGAGGTAGTCAACATCTCATAGCCACCGTGATGATGATGAGAGAGAGAGACGCAGACTCCACATCTACAGCAGCTGCAGCAGGCATCGTCAGGGTCGGGATGGAACCCACGACCTCCTGTGCCCCAGGCGAGGTAGTCAACATCTCATAGCCACCATGATGATGAGAGAGACACTCAGACTCCACATCTACAGCAGCAGACATCGTCAGGGTCGGGATCGAACCCACGACCTCCTGTGCACCAGGCGAGGTAGGCAACATCTCATAGCCACCGTGATGATGATGAGGGAGAGAGACGCAGACTCCACATCTACAGCAGCAGCAGCAGGCATCGTCAGGGTCGGGATCGAACCCACGACCTCCTGTAGACCAGGCGAGGTAGTCAACATCTCATAGCCACCGTGATGATGATGAGAGAGAGACGCAGACTCCACATCTACAGCAGCAGCAGGCATCTTCAGAGTCGGGATGGAACCCATGACCTCCTGCGCACCAGGCGAGGTAGTCATCATCTCATAGCCACCGTGATGATGATGAGAGAGAGACGCAGACTCCAAATATAGAGCAACAGCAGGCATCGTCAGGTTCGACATGGAACCCACGACCTCCTGTATACCAGGCGAGGTAGTCAACATCTCCTAGCCACCGGGATGCGGCCCGCTGGATTCGAACGGTGGGCGTCTTTGTCTGCGCAGGACTGGCAGTGCCCCTCCTTCCTGCTCACCGCCCTGGCTCTCTGCCACACGGTGCGCCTGAGCCCAGAGTCGTCGTCCTCGTCCCGTCGGAGCGGACCTGGTGGTGGCACGGACCCGGACGAGGAGTCTGACTACCTCGCCGCATCCCCCGACGAGAAGGCGCTGGTGGAGGGAGCGCGGAGGTGGGTCGGTGGTTGCCGTGACGACGGGCTCGGTGGTTGCCGTGACGACGGGGTCGGTGGTTGCCGTGACGACGGGGTCGGTGGTTGCCGTGACGACGGGGTCGGTGGTTGCCGTGACGACGGGGTTCCTGGTTGCCGTGACGCTGGGGTTTCCGATGTATTTCTCTGTAAATGAAGGGTCCCTATGTATATCTCTCTGGGGTTCCTGTGTGGTCCCTTTGTATATCTCTCTGGGGTTCCTGTGTGGTCCCTATGTATATCTCTCTGGGGTTCCTGTGTGGTCCCTTTGTATATCTCTCTGGGGTTCCTGTGTGGTCCCTATGTATATCTCTCTGGGGTTCCTGTATGGTCCCTATGTATATCTCTCTGGGGTTCCCGTGTGGTCCCTATGTATATCTCTCTGGGGATTCCTGTGTGGTCCCTATGTATATCTCTCTGGGGTTCCTAAGGGTCCCTATGTATATCTCTCTGGGGTACCTGTGTGGTCCCTATGTATATCTCTCTGGGGTTTCTATGGGTCCCTATGTATATCTCTCTGGGGTTCCCGTGTGGTCCCTATGTATATCTCTCTGGGGTTCCTGTGTGGTCCCTATGTATATCTCTCTGGGGTTCCTGTTTGGTCCCTATGTATATCTCTCTGGGGTTCCTATAGGTCCCTATGTATATCTCTCTGGGGTTCCTATAGGTCCCTATGTATATCTCTCTGGGGTACCTGTGTGGTCCCTTTGTATATCTCTCTGGGGTTCCTGTGTGGTCCCTATGTATATCTCTCTGGGGTTCCCATGTGGTCCCTATGTATATCTCTCTGGGGTACCTGTGTGGTCCCTATGTATATCTCTCTGGGGTTCCCGTGTGGTCCCTATGTATATCTCTCTGGGGTTCCCGTGTGGTCCCTATGTATATCTCTCTGGGGTTCCTGTGTGGTCCCTATGTATATCTCTCTGGGGTTCCCGTGTGGTCCCTATGTATATCTCTCTGGGGTTCCTGTCTGGTCCGTATGTATATCTCTCTGAGTGTTCCTGTGTGGTCCCTATGTATATCTCTCTGGGGTTCCTGTGTGGTCCCTATGTATATCTCTCTGGGGTTCCCGTGTGGTCCCTATGTATATCTCTCTGGGGTTCCTGTGTGGTCTCTATGTATATCTCTCTGGGGTTCCTGTGTGGTCCCTATGTATATCTCTCTGGGGTTCCTGTTTGGTCCCTATGTATATCTCTCTGGGGTTCCTATAGGTCCCTATGTATATCTCTCTGGGGTTCCTATAGGTCCCTATGTATATCTCTCTGGGGTACCTGTGTGGTCCCTTTGTATATCTCTCTGGGGTTCCTGTGTGGTCCCTATGTATATCTCTCTGGGGTTCCCATGTGGTCCCTATGTATATCTCTCTGGGGTACCTGTGTGGTCCCTATGTATATCTCTCTGGGGTTCCCGTGTGGTCCCTATGTATATCTCTCTGGGGTTCCCGTGTGGTCCCTATGTATATCTCTCTGGGGTTCCTGTGTGGTCCCTATGTATATCTCTCTGGGGTTCCCGTGTGGTCCCTATGTATATCTCTCTGGGGTTCCTGTCTGGTCCGTATGTATATCTCTCTGAGTGTTCCTGTGTGGTCCCTATGTATATCTCTCTGGGGTTCCTGTGTGGTCCCTATGTATATCTCTCTGGGGTTCCCGTGTGGTCCCTATGTATATCTCTCTGGGGTTCTTGTGTGGTCCCTATGTATATCTCTCTGGGGTACCTGTGTGGTCCCTATGTATATCTCCCTGGGGGTTTCTATGGGTCCCTATGTATATCTCCCTGGGGGTCCCTGTGTGGTCCCTATGTATATCTCTCTGGGGTCCCTGTGTGGTCCCTATGTATATCTCTCTGGGATTCCTGTGTGGTCCCTATGTATATCTCTCTGGGGTTCCTGTGTGGTCCCTATGTATATCTCTCTGGGGTTCTTGTGTGGTCCCTATGTATATCTCTCTGGGGTTCCTGTGTGGTCCCTATGTATATCTCTCTGGAGTTCCTGTGTGGTCCCTATGTATATCTCTCTGGGGTTCCTGTGTGGTCCCTATGTATATCTCTCTGGGGTTCCTGTGTGGTCCCTATGTATATCTCTCTGGGGTTCCTGTGTGGTCCCTATGTATATCTCTCTGGGGTTCCTGTGTGGTCCCTATGTATATCTCTCTGGGGTTCCTGTGTGGTCCCTATGTATATCTCTCTGGGGTTCCTGTGTGGTCCCTATGTATATCTCTCTGGGGTTCTTGTGTGGTCCCTATGTATATCTCTCTGGGGTTCCTGTGTGGACCCTATGTATATCTCTCTGGGGTTCCCGTGTGGTCCCTATGTATATCTCTCTGGGGTTCCTGTGTGGTCCCTATGTATATCTCTCTGGGGTTCCCGTGTGGTCCCTATGTATATCTCTCTGGGGTTCCTGTGTGGTCCCTATGTATATCTCTCTGGGGTTCCTGTGTGGTCCTTATGTATATCTATCTGGGGTTCCCGTGTGGTCCCTATATATATCTCTCTGGGGTTCCCGTGTGGTCCCTATGTATATCTCTCTGGGGTTCCTGTGTGGTCCCTATGTATATCTCTCTGGGGTTCTTGTGTGGTCCCTATGTATATCTCTCTCGGGTTCCCATGTGGTCCCTATGTATATCTCTCTGGGGTTTCTATGGGTCCCTATGTATATCTCTCTGGCGTTCCCGTGTGGTCCCTATGTGTATCTCTCTGGGGTTCCCGTGTGGTCCCTATGTATACCTCTCTGGGGTTCCTGTGTGGTCCCTATGTATATCTCTCTGGGGTTCCCGTGTGGTCCCTATGTATATCTCTCTGGGGTACCTGTGTGGTCCCTATGTATATCTCTCTGGGGTTCCTGTGTGGTCCCTATGTATATCTCTCTGGGGTTCTCGTGTGGTCCCTATGTGTATCTCTCTGGGGTTCCTGTGTGGTCCCTATGTATATCTCTCTGGGGTTCCCGTGTGGTCCCTATGTATATCTCTCTGGGGTCCCTGTGTGGTCCCTATGTATATCTCTCTGGGGTTCCTATGGGTCCCTATGTATATCTCTCTGGGGTACCTGTGTGGTCCCTATGTATATCTCTTTGGGGTTCCTATGGGTCCCTATGTATATCTCTCTGGGGTTCCCGTGTGGTCCCTATGTATATCTCTCTGGGGTTCCCGTGTGGTCCCTTTGTATATCTCTCTGGGGTTCCTGTGTGGTCCCTATGTATATCTCTCTGGGGTTCCTGTGTGGTCCCTATGTATATCTCTCTGGGGTTCCTGTCTGGTCCCTATGTATATCTCTCTGGGGTTCCCGTGTGGTCCCTATGTATATCTCTCTGGGGTTCCTAAGGGTCCCTATGTATATCTCTCTGGGGTTCCCGTGTGGTCCCTATGTATATCTCTCTGAGGGTTCCTAAGGGTCCCTATGTATATCTCTCTGGGTTCCTGTGTGGTCCCTATGTTTATCTCTCTGGGGTTCCTGTGTGGTCCCTATGTATATCTCTCTGGGGTTCCCGTGTGGTCCCTATGTATATCTCTCTGGGGTTCCCGTGTGGTCCCTATGTATATCTCTCTGAGGGTTCCTAAGGGTCCCTATGTATATCTCTCTGGGTTCCTGTGTGGTCCCTATGTATATCTCTCTGGGGTTCCTGTGTGGTCCCTTTGTATATCTCTCTGGGGTTCCCGTGTGGTCCCTACGTATATCGCTCTGGGGTTCCCGTGTGGTCCCTATGTATATCTCTCTGGGGTTCCTGTGTGGTCCCTATGTATATCTCTCTGGGGTTCCCGTGTGGTCCCTATGTATATCTCTCTGGGGTTCCTGTGTGGTCCCTATGTATATCTCTCTGGGGTTCTTGTGTGGTCCCTATGTGTATCTATCTGGGGTTCCTGTGTGGTCCCTATGTATATCTCTCTGGGGTTCTTGTGTGGTCCCTATGTGTATCTATCTGGGGTTCCTGTGTGGTCCCTATGTATATCTCTGTTTCTCTCCAAGCGACAACCCCCCACCCTGTTGGCAAACGACACAACCCGCACGCCTTTGACCCCTTTGACCCCTTTGACCCCTTTGACCCCTCCACCTGGGCGGGGCACGTCAGGCTGGGCGTCACCTTCCTGGGCACCGTGGACCGCTGGAGCACCCTGAACATCCGCGGAGTGACGCACAGGTGACGTTGGCTCAGCCCCCCACCACGCCCCCCACCCCGCCCCCCACCCCGCCCCCCCCTCGCCCCCCGCCCCCCCCTCGCCCCCCGCCCCCCACCCCGCCCCCCACCCCCCGCCCCCGCCACGAGTGATCGCCCCGTCCCTCAACTCCTCCTCGGAATCCGAACGATTGCGGTGGGGTTTGGTGGTGGTGTGGCGGTGGCGGTGGTGGGGTTGGTGGTGGGGTTGGTGTTGGTGGTGAGGTTGGTGGCGTTGGGGTTGGTGGTGGTGGGGTGGGGTTGGTGGTGGTGGTGGTGGGGTTGGCGGTGAGGTTGGTGGCGTTGGGGTTGGTGGTGGTGGTGGTGGCGGTGGTGGTGGCGGTGGTGGTGGCGGTGGTGGTGGCGGTGGGGTTGGTGGCGTTGGGGTTGGTGGTGGTGGTGGTGGTGGCGGTGGTTGTGGCGGTGGGGTTGGTTGTGGTGGCGGTGGCGGTGGTGGTGGTGGGGTTGGTGGTGGTGGCGGTGGCGGTGGTGCGGTGGGGTTGGTGGTGGTGGTGGTGGCCTCACAGCGTGAAGGGGGCCTGTGTTTTGCCGTAATAGGTACACGCTCAGAGCACTTGCCCCAACAGTGTTGTGTTGGCTACACGAGGGGGTGGACCTTCGTCTTTGTGTGCAGGTTTGAGATTCTCCATGTGCTGGAGTTTGATCCTCAGCGGAGGAGAATGAGCGTCATCGTTCGCACAGAGGAAGGTACGGTGCGCACACACACACGGATACACACATACGCACACACGCACACACGCACATAAACACACACGCATACACACACATACACACACACACGCACACACATACACGCACGCATACACACACATAAACACGCACACACACGCACATAAACACACACGCATACACACATACACACACGCACACACATACACACACACATACACACATACACACACATACATACACACACATGCACATGCACACACACACATACACACACACACACGCGCACACACACGCACACACACACACATACACACGCACATAAACACACACACACACGCACATATACACATACATACACACACGCATAAACACACACATACACGCATAATCACACACATACACACACACATACACGCACATACACACACGCACACACACGCGCACAAACACACACGCACATAAACACACACGCACACACACACACATACACACACGCTTTAAACACACACACATACACACACGCATACACGCACATACACACATACACACGCACATACATACACACATACACACACATACACACACATACATACACACACACGCACATAAACACACACACATGCACATACATACACACACATACACACACATACATACACACACACGCACATAAACACACACACATGCACATACATACACACATACACACACACACATACACACACACGCACATACACACACGCGCGCACATGAACACACACGCGCGCAGACACGTGTGCGCACCGCCTCTCCGCGCGACACGGTGACCTGTTGACCCCGCGACCCCGATGACCCCCACGACCGCATGTCACCCCCAGGCCGTGCGTTTGTCATCACGAAGGGCGCCGACCTGGCGGTGATGCCGTGCGTGGTGGCTGGAGATGTGGACAAGACTCAGCGGCACGTGGACGACTTCTCCCTGGTGAGTCCACCACTTGTGTGAGTCCACCACTTGTGTGTGTGTGTGTGATGCCGTGCGTGGTGGCTGGAGATGTGGACAAGACTCAGCGGCACGTGGACGACTTCTCCCTGGTGAGTCCACCACGCGTGTGAGTCCACCACTTGTGTGAGTCCACCACGTGTGAGTGTGTGTGTGAGTGTGTGTACACACCACGTGTGAGTGTGTGTGAATCCACCACGTGTGTGTGTGTGTGTACACACCACGTGTGTGAGTGTGTGTGTACACACCACGTGTGTGAGTGTGTGTGTACACACCACGTGTGTGTGTGAGTGTGTGTACACACCACATGTGTGTGTACACACCACGTGTGTGTGTACACACCATGTGTGTGTGTACACACCACGTGTGTGTGTGTGTGTACACCACGTGTGAGTGTGTGTGTACACACCACGTGTGTGTGTGTGTACACACCACGTGTGTGAGTGTGTGTGTACACACCACGTGTGTGTGTGTGAGTCCACCACGTGTGTGTGTGTGTGAGTGTGTGTACACACCACGTGTGTGTGAGTGTGTGTACACACCACGTGTGTGTGTGTACACCACGTGTGTGTGTGTGTGAATGTGTGTACACAATACGTGTGTGTATACACACCACGTGTGTATGTGTGAGTGTGTACACACCACTTGTCTGTGTGTGTGAGTCCACCACGTGTGAGTGTGTGTGTGAGTGTGTGTACACACCACGTGTGTGTGAGTGTGTTTTACACACCACGTGTGTGTGTGTGAGTGTGTGTACACACCACGTGTGTGTGTGTACACCACGTGTGTGTGTGTGTGAATGTGTGTACACACCACGTGTGTGTGTGTGTGTACACCACGTGTGTGTGAGTGTGTGTACACACCACGTGTGTGTGTACACACCACGTGTGTGTGTGAGTGTGTGTACACACCACTTGTGTGTGTGTGTGAGTCCACCACGTGTGAGTGTGTGTGTGAATCCACCACGTGTGAGTGTGTGTGTGAGTGTACACACCACGTGTGTGTGAGTGTGTGTACACACCACGTGTGTGTGAGTGTGTGTACACACCACGTGTGTGTGTGTGTGTGAGTCCACCACGTGTGAGTGTGTGTGTACACACTGGACAGGTTCCGTAGGATTGGAAGGATGCCCTGGTGGTCCCCCTCTTTAAGAAGGGGGACCGCACAGACTGTAACAACTACAGGGGCATCTCTCTTCTCAGTGTGCCGGGAAAGGTCCTGGCAAGGATTATTCAACATCGCCTTGCCAGGCACTCTGAGGAGAGGCTTACGGAGCCCCAATGCGGTTTCAGGAAAGGGCGGTCCTGCACAGATGCCATATTTTCTGTCCGTCTGCTACAGCAGAGATGTAGGGAATTCCAACAAGACCTACATCTCTGCTTTATTGACCTGGTCAAGGCCTATGATACCATCAGTAGGCCTGGGCTCTGGGTTGTTCTTCGTGCTTTTGGAGTCCCTGACCCCCTGCTCACGATCATTAAGACCTTCATGATGGTGAGCGGGCTCGGGTAAAACTACGTGGCCGGGAGTCAGAGCCATTCCCTGTACACCTTGGGGTGCGACAGGGATGTCCTCTGGCTCCCACATTATTTAACATCTATTTTGACCACGTAGTTCGTGAAGCCTTCAATAGCTGTACCGAGGCAATCTCCATATGGTACAGATATAATGGGAGGCTGATCGATGCCCGGGTATGGTCAAGGGATGGCTCCCTATTGCTCAACCACGTTATGTATGCCGATGATTTGGTAATAGCCGCTCATTCAGAGGAGGAGTTGGAGACGCTGCTGCTGAGACTGGAGCGTGCCACTAAGAGGTGGGGCCTTACCATCAGCCCCACCAAAACTAAGCACCTGCCTGGGTATTTTGTACCATCGGACACTCCACCCCCACAACTCCCAATCGGTGATGGGGCAGTTGTGGAGAGAGTGGAGAGTTTCCCATACCTGGGCAGTGTGCTCATGACCGGCTCCAGTTTAACAGCAGAGGTCTCGCTCCGAATCAGTCGAGCAGCAATATCTTTTCATCGGTTGCGTAACGCTGTGTGGAAGCTACCTGGTCTGTCGCTCCGCACTAAGCTTCAGGTCTTCTCGGGCACGGTCATTCCCTCCCTTCTCTACACTTGCGAAACGTGGACCCCCCTAATGGAACATCTTCGCCAGTTAGAAACATTTAGGCTAGCCTGCCTACGATCCATCCTGGGTTTAACCTGGCTGGATTGTGTGAGGAGCTCACAAATCTTTGAAAGATCTGGGCATGGTCCCATCGGTGAGTTCCTCCGGCGGGGAAGGCTGCGTTGGCTGAGTCATGTAGCCCGCATGCCCAGCCACCGCATGCCGAAACAGCTTTTGTTCAGCCGGATCAAGGGGGCTAAACGGGCGCGGCACGGGCTAGAGAAGAGATGGAGGACGTGGAGCTGAGTGGACTTGCTGAGTGGACTTGCCGATGACTGGTACCAGCGGTGTCAAGATCGGCCTCTGTGGAGGAGGCTCGTGAAGGACGCTACTGGGCAGTTGGAGGCAGTCGCCCTCCAACAACAACGGAGGGCGGAGGAGCGACGCTCACAACAACGAGCGGAGCGCCGGGTGGCTAAAGCACAGCAGGTTGGCACAGTAGGGGGCACAGATGGTGCATCAGCCAGTCATCTCAGTCAGTCGACCCGTGGCACCTGGGTCTGCCCCGTGACCTCCTGCCAGTGGGCGTTCGACACTTCACGTGGCCTCAAGGTGCACATAGCCTGGCACAAGCGTCGTGGTGACGTCACCGCCACTTAGTGGCGAATGGCGGTTGTTGTTGTTGTTGTTGTGTACGTGTGTTCATCCCGTGTGTGTTGTGTGTGTGCGCGTGAGTCCACCGCGGGTGTGGGTGTGTGTGTTTGCATGTTTGTGTGTGTGTGTGCGTGAGTGTTTGTGCGTGTTTGTGCGTGTGTGCAGCTGGGTCTGCGCATGCTGTGCGTGTGTGTGCGCGTGCTGTGCGTGTTTGTGCGTGTGTGTGAGTGAGGGTGCGTGTGTGTGTGTGTGAGTGAGGGTGCGTGTGTGTGTGAGTGAGGGTGCGTGTGTGTGAGTGAGTGAGGGTGCGTGTGTGTGTGTGTGAGTGAGGGTGCGTGTGTGAGTGAGGGTGCGTGTGTGTGAGTGAGGGTGCGTGTGTGCGTGTTTGTGTGAGTGTGTGAGTGAGGGTGTGCGTGTGTGTGCGTGTGTGTGTGCGTGCACGCAGCTGGGTCTGCGCGTGCTGTGCGTGTGTGCGTGTGTGTGCGTGTTTGTGCGTGTGTGTGAGTGAGGGTGCGTGTGTGTGTGTGTGAGTGAGGGTGCGTGTGTGTGTGAGTGAGGGTGCGTGTGTGTGAGTGAGTGAGGGTGCGTGTGTGTGTGTGTGAGTGAGGGTGCGTGTGTGTGTGAGGGTGCGTGTGTGTGAGTGAGGGTGCGTGTGTGCGTGTTTGTGTGAGTGTGTGAGTGAGGGTGTGCGTGTGTGTGCGTGTGTGTGTGCGTGCACGCAGCTGGGTCTGCGCGTGCTGTGCGTGTGTGCGTGTGTGTGCGTGTTTGTGCGAGTGTGTGTGTGTGTGTGCGAGTGTGTGTGTGTGTGCATGTGCGTGTGTGTGTGTGTGCGTGTGCGTGTGTGTGCGTGTGTGTGCGTGTGCGCGTGTTTGTACATGTGGGTGAGCGAGGGTGTGCGTGTGCGCGCGTGTGTGTGAGTGTGTGAGCGAGGGTGTGTGTGTGTGTACGTGCGTGCGTGTGTGTGTGTGTGCGTGCACGCAGCTGGGTCTGCGCGTGCTGTGCGTGTTTGTGCGTGTGTGTGAGCGAGGGTGCGTGTGTGTGTGTGTGTGTGCGCGTGTGTGTAAGTGTAAGTGTGTGTGTGTGTGTGCGTGCTGTGCGTGTTTGTGCGTGTGGGTGAGCGAGGGTGTGTGTGTGTGCGCGTAAGTGTAAGTGTGTGTGTGTGCGCGTGTGTGTGCGCGTGTGTGTGTGTGTGTGCGTGTTTGTGCGTGTGGGTGAGCGAGGGTGTGTGTGTGTGAGTGTAAGTGTGCGTGTGTGTGCGTGTGTGCGTGTTTGTGTGAGTGTGTGCGTGTGTGTGCGTGCGTGCGTGTTTGTGCGTGTGGGTGAGCGAGGGTGCGTGTGTGTGCGTGTGCGTGTTTGTGTGAGTGTGTGCGTGTGAGTGTAAGTGTGTGCGTGTGTGTGAGTGTGTGAGCGAGGGTGTGTGTGTGTGTACGTGCGTGTGTATGTGTGCGTGCCCGCAGCTGGGTCTGCGCGTGCTGTGCGTGTTTGTGCGTGTGTGTGAGCGAGGGTGCGTGTGTGTGTGTGTGTGTGTGCGCGTGTGTGTAAGTGTAAGTGTGTGAGTGTAAGTGTGAGTGTGTGTGTGTGCATGTGCGTGTGAGTGTAAGTGTGTGTGTGCGTGTGTGTGTGAGTGTAAGTGTGCGCGTGTGTGCGTGTGTGTGTGTGCGTGCACGCAGCTGGGTCTGCGCGTGCTGTGCGTGTGTGCGTGTGTGTGCGTGTTTGTGCGAGTGTGTGTGTGTGTGTGTGCGAGTGTGTGTGTGTGCGAGTGTGTGTGTGTGCGTGTGTGCGTGTTTGTGCGTGTGGGTGAGCGAGGGTGTGCGTGTGTGCGCGTGTGTGTGTGTGCGTGTGCGTGTGTGCGTGTGTGTGCGTGTTTGTGCGAGTGTGTGTGTGTGTGTGCGAGTGTGTGTGTGTGTGCGTGTGTGTGTGAGTGCGTGTGTGCGTGTTTGTGCGTGTGGGTGAGCGAGGGTGTGCGTGTGCGCGCGTGTGTGTGAGTGTGTGAGCGAGGGTGTGTGTGTGTACGTGCGTGTGTGTGTGTGTGTGTGCGTGCACGCAGCTGGGTCTGCGCGTGCTGTGCGTGTTTGTGCGTGTGTGTGAGCGAGGGTGCGTGTGTGTGTGTGTGTGCGCGTGTGTGTAAGTGTAAGTGTGTGTGTGCGCGTGTGTGTATGTGTGCGTGCACGCAGCTGGGTCTGCGCGTGCTGTGCGTGGCCGTGCGCGAGCTCACCTCGGCGGAGCTGTCGGCGGCGATCCTGCGACTTCGTGACGCCGCGCTGGCCCTGCGGGAGCGGTCGCAGCGCTCGCGGGAGGCCTACGACGCCGTGGAGAGCGGCCTCACCCTGCTGGGAGCGAGCGGCGTGGAAGACCGGTCTGTCGCTCGCACCGCTCACACACTCGCACCGCTGACTCGCCTACTCACTCGCTCGCACACTCATACGCACACTCTCTCACTCGCCCACACAGACACTCACTCGCTCACTCACCTACTCACTCACTCGCACACTCATACGCATACTCTCTCACTCAAACGCTCACTCGCTCGCCTACTCACTCACTCGCACACTCATACACATACTCTCTCACTCGCCCACACGGACACTCACTCACTCACTCACCTACTCACTCACTCATACACACACTCTCTCACTCAAACACTCACTCACTCGCCTACTCACTCACTCGCACACTCATACACACACCCTCTCACTCGCCCACACGGACACTCACTTGCTCACTCACCTACTCACTCGCTCACTCGCCTATTCACTCGCTCACTCGCCTACTCACTCACTCGCACACTCATACGCATACTCTCTCACTCGCCCACACGGACACTCACTCACTCACTCACCTACTCACTCACTCATACACACACTCTCTCACTCAAACACTCACTCACTCGCCTACTCACTCACTCGCACACTCATACACACACCCTCTCACTCGCCCACACGGACACTCACTTGCTCACTCACCTACTCACTCGCTCACTCGCCTATTCACTCGCTCACTCGCCTACTCACTCACTCGCACACTCATACGCATACTCTCTCACTCGCCCACACGGACACTCACTCACTCACTCACCTACTCACTCACTCATACACACACTCTCTCACTCAAACACTCACTCACTCGCCTACTCACTCGCACACTCATACGCACACTCTTTCACTCGCCCACACGGACACTCACTCACTCACCTACTCACTCACTCGCACACTCATACACACACTCTCTCACTCAAACACTCACTCACTCGCCTACTCACTCGCACACTCATACACACACTCTTTCACTCGCTCACTCAGACACTCACTCGCTCACTCACCTACTCACTCACTCTCACACTCATACACGCACTCTCTCACTCGCTCACTCAGACACTCACTCGCTCACTCACCTACTCACTCACTCGCACACTCATACACACACTCTCTCACTCAAACACTCACTCACTCGCCTACTCACTCGCACACTCATACACACACTCTTTCACTCGCCCACACGGACACTCACTCGCTCACTCACCTACTCACTCACTCGCACACTCATGCGCACACTCTCTCACTCAAACACTCACTCACTCGCCTACTCACTCGCACACTCATACACACACTCTTTCACTCGCTCACTCAGACACTCACTCGCTCACTCACCTACTCACTCACTCTCACACTCATACACGCACTCTCTCACTCGCTCACTCAGACACTCACTCGCTCACTCACCTACTCACTCACTCGCACACTCATACACACACTCTTTCACTCGCTCACTCAGACACTCACTCGCTCACTCACCTACTCACTCACTCTCACACTCATACACGCACTCTCTCACTCGTCCACACGGACACTCACTCACTCACTCACCTACTCACTCACTCGCACACTCATACACACACTCTTTCACTCGCTCACTCAGACACTCACTCGCTCACTCACCTACTCACTCACTCTCACACTCATACACACACTCTCTCACTCGCCCACACGGACACTCACTTGCTCACTCACCTACTCACTCGCTCGCTCGCCTATTCACTCGCCTACTCACTCACTCGCACACTTACCTACTCACACTCATACACACACTCTCTCACTCACCTATTCAAGAACCCACTCACCCACCCACTCACCCACCCACCCACCCACTCACCCACCCACCCACCCACTCACCCACCCACCCACCCACTCACCCACCCACCCACCCACTCACCCACCCACTCACTCACTCACCCACCCACTCACCCACCCACTCACCCACCCACCCACCCATCCACTCACTCACCCACCCACTCACTCACCCACCCACTAACCCACTCACCCACCCATCCACTAACCCACTCACCCACTAACCCACTCACTAACCCACTCACCCACTCACTCACCCACTCACTCACCCACTCACTCACCCACCCACCCACTCACTCACCCACCCACTAACCCACCCACTAACCCACTCACCCACCCACTCACCCATCCACTAACCCACTCACCCACCCACCCACCCACCCACCCACTCACCCACCCACCCACTCACTCACTCACCCACCCACCCCCCCACTAACCCACCCCCCCACTAACCCACCCCCCCACTAACCCACCCCCCCACTAACCCCCCACCCCCCCACTAACCCCACCCCACCCACCACCACGTCCGAGCAGGCTACAGGAGGGCGTGGTGGAGGCCATGGCTTCCCTGCGCGACGCCGGCGTCTCTGTCTGGGTGCTCACGGGGGACAAGATGGAGACGGCCGTGAACGTGGGCTACGCCTGCGGCCTCTTCTCCCCGTCCACCACGCTGCTCTCGCTGGGACGCTCCCCCGCCACAGTCACCGCCACGGGACACGTGGGGGAGGTGGAGCGGGGGGGGGAGGGGGGGGAGGAGCGGGGGGAGGAGGGGGAGGGGGGAGGAGGGGAGCGACTACGCTGGGCAACTTGCACGGCTCATAGCACAGTACGGAGGGAGTGTCGCACGCACGCTCACGAAACACTCTCACAAACACTCTCACGCACGCTCACAAACACGCTCACAAACACTCTCACTCACAAACACTCTCACAAACACGCTCACAAACACGCTCACAAACACTCTCACGCACGCTCACAAACACTCTCACAAACACAAACACTCTCACTCACTCACACTCTCACTCACACTCACAAACACTCTCACAAACACAAACACTCTCACTGATAAACACTCACACTCACAAACACTCTCACTCACTATCACAGACACTCACAAACACTCTCACAAACACAAACACTCTCACAAACACTCTCACAAACACAAACACTCTCACAAACACTCTCACTCACAAACACAAACACTCACACTCACAAACACTCTCACTCACGCTCACAAACACTCTCACAAACACTCTCACTCACACACACAAACACTCACACTCACAAACACTCTCACTCACACTCACAAACACTCTCACAAACACAAACAACACTCTCACAAACACTCTCACTCACAAACACTCTCACTCACAAACACTCTCACAAACACAAACACTCTCACTCACAAACACTCTCACTGACACTCACAAACACTCTCACAAACACTCTCACTCACTCACACTCTCACTCACACTCACAAACACTCTCACAAACACAAACACTCTCACTGATAAACACTCACACTCACAAACACTCTCACTCACTATCACAGACACTCACAAACACTCTCACAAACACAAACACTCTCACAAACACTCTCACAAACACAAACACTCTCACAAACACTCTCACTCACAAACACAAACACTCACACTCACAAACACTCTCACTCACACTCACAAACACTCTCACAAACACTCTCACTCACAAACACAAACACTCACACTCACAAACACTCTCACTCACACTCACAAACACTCTCACAAACACAAACAACACTCTCACAAACACTCTCACTCACAAACACTCTCACTCACAAACACTCTCACAAACACAAACACTCTCACTCACAAACACTCTTACTCACACTCACAAACACTCTCACAAACACTCTCACTCACTCACACTCTCACTCACACTCACAAACACTCTCACAAACACAAACACTCTCACTCACAAACACTCACACTCACAAACACTCTCACTCACTATCACAGACACTCACAAACACTCTCACAAACACAAACACTCTCACAAACACTCTCACAAACACAAACACTCTCACAAACACTCTCACTCACAAACACAAACACTCACACTCACAAACACTCTCACTCACACTCACAAACACTCACACTCTCACTCACACTCACAAACACTCTCACTCACAAACACTCTCACTCACACTCACAAACACTCTCACAAACACAAACAACACTCTCACAAACACTCTCACTCACAAACACTCTCACTCACAAACACTCTCACAAACACAAACACTCTCACTCACAAACACTCTTACTCACACTCACAAACACTCTCACAAACACAAACACAAACACTCTCACAAACACTCTCACTCACAAACACTCTCACAAACACTCTCACAAACACTCTCACAAACACAAACACTCTCACTCACTATCACAAACACTCTCACAAACACTCTCACAAACACAAACACTCTCACAAACACTCTCACAAACACAAACACTCTCACTCACTCACACTCTCACTCACGCTCACAAACACTCTCACAAACACAAACACTCTCACTCACGCTCACAAACACTCTCACTCACGCTCACAAACACTCTCACTCACGAACACTCTCACTCTCACTCACAAACACTCTCACTCACAAACACTCTCACTCACACTATCACTCACGCTCACAAACACTCTCACAAACACTCTCACTCACGCTCACAAACACTCTCGCTCTCACAAACACTCTCACAAACACAAACACTCTCACTCACGCTCACAAACACTCTAACTCTCACTCACAAACACTCTCACTCACTCACACTCACAAACACTCTCACTCTCACTCACAAACACTCTCACAAACACAAACACTCTCACTCACAAACACTCTCACTCACACACTCACACTCACTATCACAGACACTCACAAACACTCTCACTCACTATCACAGACACTTACAAACACTCTCACTAGCACTCACTATCACAGACACTCACAAACACTCTCACTAGCACTCACTATCACAGACACTCACAAACACTCTCACTCACACTCTCACTCACTATCACAGACACTCACAAACACTCACACTCACACTATCACTCACACTCACTATCACAGACACTCACAAACACTCACACTCACTATCACAGACACTCACAAACACTCTCACTCACACTATCACTCACTATCACAGACACTCACAAACACTCACACTCAATATCACAGACACTCACAAACACTCTCACTCACACTCACTATCACAGACACTCACAAACACTCTCACTCACACTCAATATCACAGACACTCACAAACACTCTCACTCACACTCACTATCACAGACACTCACAAACACTCACACTCAATATCACAGACACTCACAAACACTCTCACTCACACTCACTATTACAGACACTCACAAACACTCTCACTCACACTCACTATCACAGACACTCACAAACACTCTCACTCACACTCACTATCACAGACACTCACACTATCACTCACACTCACTATCACAGACACTCACAAACACGCTCACTCTCACTCACTATCACAGACACTCACAAACACTCTCACTCACTATCACAGACACTCACAAACACTCTCACTCACACTCACTATCACAGACACTCACAAACACTCTCACTCACTATCACAGACACTCACAAACACTCTCACTCACACTCACTATCACAGACACTCACAAACACTCTCACTCACTATCACAGACACTCACAAACACTCTCACTAGCACTCACTATCACAGACACTCACAAACATTCACAAACACTCGCGCAGACTCACAAACACTCTCACTCGCACTCACACTCTCACTCACTATCACAGACACTCACAAACACTCTCACTCTCACTCACTATCACAGACACTCACAAACACTCTCACTCACTATCACAGACACTCACAAACATTCACAAACACTCGCGCAGACTCACAAACACTCTCACTCGCACTCACACTCTCACTCACTCACACTCACTATCACAGACACTTACAAATACTCTCACTCACACTATCACTCTCACTCACTCACTATCACAAACACTCACAAACACTCTCTCACTAGAACAGGGGGAGATCATACAAACTCCACTCACTCTCACTCTGTAGAACAGGGGGAGATCACACAAACTCCACTCACTCTCACTCTGTAGAACAGGGGGAGATCATACAAACTCCACTCACTCTCACTCTGTAGAACAGGGGGAGATCATACAAACTCCACTCACTCTGTAGAACAGGGGGAGATCATACAAACTCCACTCACTCACTCAGTAGAACAGGGGGAGATCATACAAACGCCACTCACTCTGTAGAACAGGGGGAGATCATACAAACTCCACTCACTCACTCTGAAGAACAGGGGGAGATCATACAAACTCCACTCACTCACTGTGTAGAACAGGGGGAGATCATACAAACTCCACTCACTCACTCTAAAGAACAGGGGGAGATCATACAAACTCCACTCACTCACTCTGTAGAACAGGGGGAGATCATACAAACTCCACTCACTCTGTAGAACAGGGGGAGATCATACAAACTCCACTCACTCTCTCTGAGATCACACAAACTCCACTCACTCACTATGTAGAACAGGGGGAGATCACACAAACTCCACTCACTCTGTAGAACAGGGGGAGATCACACAAACTCCACTCACTCTGTAGAACAGAAGGAGATCACACAAACTCCACTCACTCACTCTGTAGAACAGGGGGAGATCATACAAACTCCACTCACTCACTCTGAAGAATAGGGGGAGATCATACAAACTCCACTCACTCACTCTGTTGAACAGGGGGAGATCACACAAACTCCACTCACTCTGTAGAACAGGGGGAGATCATAGAAACTCCACTCACTCTGTAGAACAGGGGGAGATCACACAAACTCCACTCACTCTGTAGAACAGGGGGAGATCACACAAACTCCACATACTCTGTAGAACAGGGGGAGGTCATACAAACTCCACTCACTCACTGTGTAGAACAGGGGGAGATCATACAAACTCCACTCACTCACTCTGAAGAACAGGGGGAGATCATACAAACTCCACTCACTCACTGTGTAGAACAGGGGGAGATCATACAAACCCCACTCACTCACTCTGAAGAACAGGGGGAGATCATACAAACTCCACTCACTCACTCTGTAGAACAGGGGGAGATAATACAAACTCCACTCACTCTGTAGAACAGGGGGAGATCATACAAACTCCACTCACTCTGTAGAACAGGGGGAGATCACACAAACTCCACTCACTCTGTAGAACAGTGGGAGATCACACAAACTCCACTCACTCTGTAGAACAGGGGGAGATCATACAAACTCCACTCACTCACTCTGTAGAACAGGGGGAGATCATACAAACTCCACTCACTCTGTAGAACAGGGGGAGATCACACAAACTCCACTCACTCACTCTGTAGAGCAGGGGGAGATCATACAAACTCTACTCACTTTGTAGAACAGGGGGAGATCACACAAACTCCACTCACTCACTCTGTAGAACAGGAGGAGATCACACAAACTCCACTCACTCTGTAGAACAGGGGGAGATCATACAAACTCCACTCACTCACTGTAGAACAGGGGGAGATCACACAAACTACACTCACTCTGTAGAACAGGGGGAGATCACACAAACTCCACTCACTCTGTAGAACAGAGGGAGATCACACAAACTCCACTCTCACTGTAGAACAGGGGGAGATCACACAAACTCCACTCACTCTGTAGAACAGAGGGAGATCACACAAACTCCACTCACTCACTCTGTAGAACAGGGAGAGATCACACAAACTCCACTCACTCACTCTGTAGAACAGGGGGAGATCATACAAACTCCACTCACTCTGTAGAACAGGGGGAGATCACACAAACTCCACTCACTCTGTAGAACAGAGGGAGATCACACAAACTCCACTCACTCTGTAGAACAGGGGGAGATCACACAAACTCCACTCACTCACTCTGTAGAACAGGGGGAGATCATACAAACTCCACTCACTCTGTAGAACAGGGGGAGATCACACAAACTCCACTCACTCTGTAGAACAGTGGGAGATCACACAAACTCCACTCACTCTGTAGAACAGGGGGAGATCATACAAACTCCACTCACTCACTCTGTAGAACAGGGGGAGATCATACAAACTCCACTCACTCTGTAGAACAGGGGGAGATCACACAAACTCCACTCACTCACTCTGTAGAGCAGGGGGAGATCATACAAACTCTACTCACTTTGTAGAACAGGGGGAGATCACACAAACTCCACTCACTCACTCTGTAGAACAGGGGGAGATCACACAAACTCCACTCACTCTGTAGAACAGGGGGAGATCATACAAACTCCACTCACTCACTGTAGAACAGGGGGAGATCACACAAACTACACTCACTCTGTAGAACAGGGGGAGATCACACAAACTCCACTCACTCTGTAGAACAGAGGGAGATCACACAAACTCCACTCTCACTGTAGAACAGGGGGAGATCACACAAACTCCACTCACTCTGTAGAACAGAGGGGAGATCACACAAACTCCACTCACTCACTCTGTAGAACAGGGAGAGATCACACAAACTCCACTCACTCACTCTGTAGAACAGGGGGAGATCATACAAACTCCACTCACTCTGTAGAACAGGGGGAGATCACACAAACTCCACTCACTCTGTAGAACAGAGGGAGATCACACAAACTCCACTCACTCTGTAGAACAGGGGGAGATCACACAAACTCCACTCACTCACTCTGTAGAACAGGGGGAGATCATACAAACTCCACTCACTCTGTAGAACAGGGGGAGATCACACAAACTCCACTCACTCTGTAGAACAGGGGGAGATCATAGAAACTCCACTCACTCTGTAGAACAGGGGGAGATCACACAATCTCCACTCACTCTGTAGAACAGGGGGAGATCACACAAACTCCACTCACTCTGTAGAACAGGGGGAGATCATACAAACTCCACACACTCACTCTGTAGAACAGGATGAGATCACACAAACTCCACTCACTCTGTAGAACAGGGGGAGATCATACAAACTCCACTCACCCTGTAGAACAGGGGGAGATCATACAAACTCCACTCACTCACTTTGTAGAACAGGGGGAGATCATACAAACTCCACTCACTCTGTAGAACAGGGAGAGATCACACAAACTCCACTCACTCACTCTGTAGAACAGGGGGAGATCATACAAACTCCACTCACTCTGTAGAACAGGGGGAGATCATACAAACTCCACTCACTCTGTAGAACAGGGGGAGATCATACAAACTCCACTCACTCTGTAGAACAGGGGGAGATAATACAAACTCCACTCACTCTGTAGAACAGGGAGAGATCACACAAACTCCACTCACTCACTCTGTAGAACAGGGGGAGATCATACAAACTCCACTCACTCTGTAGAACAGGGGGAGATCATACAAACTCCACTCACTCTGTAGAACAGGGGGAGATCATACAAACTCCACTCACTCTGTAGAACATGGGGAGATCATACAAACGCCACTCACTCTGTAGAACAGGGAGAGATCACACAAACTCCACTCACTCACTCTGTAGAACAGGGGGAGATCATACAAACTCCACTCACTCTGTAGAACAGGAGGAGATCATACAAACTCCACTCACTCTGTAGAACAGGGGGAGATCATACAAACTCCACTCACTATGTAGAACAGGGGGAGATCATACAAACTCCACTCACTCTGTAGAACAGGGGGAGATCACACAAACTCCACTCACTCACTCTGTAGAACAGGGGGAGATCACACAAACTCCACTCCCTCTGTAGATCAGGGGGAGATCATACAAACTCCACACACTCTCTCTGTAGAACAGGGGGAGATCACACAAACTCCACTCACTCTGTAGAACAGGGGGAGATCACACAAACTCCACTCACTCTGTAGAACAGGGGGAGATCACACAAACTCCACTCACTCTGTCGAACAGGGGGAGATCATACAAACTCCACTCACTCTGTAGAAGAGGGGGAAATCATACAAACTCCACTCACTCACTCTGTAGAACAGGGGGAGATCATACAAACTCCACTCACTCACTCTGTAGGACAGGGGGACATCACACAAACTCCACTCACTCTGTAGAACAGGGGGAGATCATACAAACTCCACTCACTCACTCTGTAGAACAGGGGGAGATCATACAAACTCCACTGACTATATAGAACAGGGGGAGATCATACAAACTCCACTCACTCTGCAGAACAGGGGGAGATCATACAAACTCCACTCACTCTGCAGAACAGGGGGAGATCATACAAACTCCACTCACTCTGCAGAACAGGGGGAGATCATACAAACTCCGCTGACTATATAGAACAGGGGGAGATCATACATAGAACAGGGAGAGAGAGAACGCACCATCTCCGCACTCAGAAAGGCACCCGCTTCTGGGAATCAAACCCAAGGCCCCTTCTCGCTGTGAGGCCACTAGACTCACCCCCCCACGCTCCGTCTCACCCCCCCACGCTCTGTCCCACCCCCCCCCCCCCACGCTCTGTCCCACCCCCCCAGGGCTTCGTGTGTGCCCGTGGGAGACTTCTCCTTGGTGGTGTCGGGCTCCCAACTCTCCGTGCTGCTGGGCCACCACCACCACCGGCGTGCCCTGCGCCTGCTGGTGCAGGCCTGCCGCTCCGTCCTCTGCTGCCGACTCGCGCCCCTGCAGAAGGCCGAGGTGCCGGGGGGGGGGGGGGGCAGGGGGTGTGGGGGGGGTCGGAGACGACGCGGGGAGGGGGGTGGGTAGGGGGGCAGAGAGGATGGGGGGGGGGAGACGCTGGGTATTGGCACTGTTCATACAAACCCATGATTGTACTAAAGGAGATATGGTTGTCTCTGTGTGTCACCGTGTGTGTCCGTGTGTGTTTGTGTCCGTGTGTGTGTGTGTCACCGTGTGTGTGTGTGTCCCCGTGTGTGTGTGTGTGTCACCGTGTGTGTGTGTGTGTCACCGTGTGTGTGTGTGTCACCGTGTGTGTGTGTGTGTCACCCTGTGCGTGTGTGTCACCCTGTGCATGTGTCCCCGTGTGTGTATGTCACCGTGTGTGTCCGTGTGTGTGTGTGTGTGTGTCCCCGTGTGTGTATGTCACCGTGTGTGTCTGTGTGTGTGTGTCACCGTGTGTGTGTGTGTGTCCCCGTGTGTGTGTGTGTCCGTGTGTGTGTGTGTCACCGTGTGTGTGTGTGTGTCCCCGTGTGTGTGTGTGTCACCGTGTGTGTGTGTGTCACCGTGTATGTGTGTGTCACTGTGTGTGTGTGTCACCGTGTGTGTGTGTGTGTCCCCGTGTGTGTTTCACCGTGTGTGTGTGCGTGTGTCCCCGTGTGTGTCCCCGTGTGTGTGTGTGTGTCACCGTGTGTGTGTGTGTCACCGTGTGTGTGTGTGTGTGTCACCGTGTGTGTGTGTGTGTCACCGTGTGTGTGTGTGTCACCGTGTGTGTTTGTGTCACCGTGTGTGTGTGTGTGTCACTGTGTGTGTGTGTGTCACCGTGTGTGCGTGTGTCCCCGTGTGTGTGTGTCACCGTGTGTGCGTGTGTCACCGTGTGTGTGTGTGTCACCGTGTGTGTGTGTCACCGTGTGTGTGTGTCACCGTGTGTGTGTGTGTGTGTCCCCGTGTGTGTGTGTGTCACCGTGTGTGTGTGTCACCGTGTGTGTGTGTCACCGTGTGTGTGTGTGTGTGTCCCCGTGTGTGTGTGTGTGTCCCCGTGTGTGTGTGTCACCGTGTGTGTGTGTGTGTGTCACCGTGTGTGTGTGTGTGTGTCCCCGTGTGTGTGTGTCACCGTGTGTGTGTGTGTGTGTCCCCGTGTGTGTGTGTGTCACCGTGTGTGTGTGTCACCGTGTGTGTGTGTGTGTCCCCCCACGTGACCCCCCCCCACGTGACTCCCTCACGTGACCCCCCCCCCCCCCCAGGTGGTGCGGCTGGTGAAGGCGCTGCCAGGCAGCCCCATCACGTTGGCCATCGGCGACGGAGCCAACGACGTCAGCATGATCCAGGAGGCGCACGTGGGCATCGGTGGGCAGGGGGGGGGGGGCACGGGGGGGGCACGGGGGGGGTGGGGGCACGGGGGGGGTGGGGGCACGGGGGGGGGGGCACGGGGGGGGGGTGGGGGCACGGGGGGGGGGCACGGGGTTAAACCGGGTGGAGGCAATGGGGTACACGCAGTACACAACATCTCTCTCTCTCTCTGTGTATCTCCAATGTGCGTGTGACTGCCTGTGGCGTGTTTGTGCTTTTGTGTGCGTGCACGTCTGTGTTTGTACGTGCGTGTGTGTGTGTGTGCGTGTGTGTGTGCATGTGTGTGTGTGTGCGTGTGTGTGTGCATGTGTGTGTGTGCGTGTGTGTGTGTGTGTGTATGCGTGCGTGTGTGTGTGCGTGTGTGTGTGTGTGCGTGTGTGTGTGTGCGTGTGCGTGCGTGTGTGTGTGTTTGCGTGTGTGTGTGCTTGCGTGTGTGTGTGTGTATGTGTGTATGTAGTGGGGAGCAGTAGTGTAGCGGTTAGCGCTACGCTGCGCTATGAACCCCGGCGACCCGGGTTCGATTCCCGCTCACGGCCAACACCACCGGTGACGATTATCTGAACCGGTCCCGGGCCTCCCCAAGGTCGACTCAGCCTCAAATGAGTACCTGGTGCGGTGGGTAAAAAAAAAACGTCGCCACTGGGGAGACAAAGGCGGTCGGGCGTGGTGCTGGCCACCCACCCCCTCGTGTGCCGTTCCGGCCTTCATAGGTGCTCGCTAACAGCACTTGCCCCTACAGTCTGTTAAGGCTACACGGGGGATCTTTGTCTTTGATCTTTGTGTGTCTGTGTGTATGCATGCGTGTGTGTGCGTCTGTGTGTGTGTACGTGCGTGTGTGCGTGCGTGTGTGTGCGCGTGTGCGTGTGTGTGTGTGAGTGTGCGTGTGTGAGTGTGTGTGTGCGTCTGTGTGTGTGTACGTGCGTGTGTGTGCGTGTGTGTACGTGTGTGAGTGTGTGTGTACGTGTGTGTGTACGTGCGTGTGTGTGTGTGTACGTGCGTGTGTATGTGTGTACGTGTGTGTGTGTGTGCGCGTCTGTGTGTGTGTGTACGTGCGTGTGTGTGTGTACGTGCGTGTGTGGGTATGTGTGTGTGTGTGTATGTGTGTGTGTGTACGTGTGTGTGTGTGTACGTGTATGTGTGTATGTGTACGTGTGTGTGTGTACGTGTGTGTGTGTGTATGTGTGTGTATGTGTGTGTATGTGCATGTGTGTGTGCATGTGTGCATGTGTGTATGTGTGTGTGAGTGTACGTGCGTGTGTATGCGTGTGTGAGTGTACGTGTGTGTCTGTGCGTGTGTGAGTGTACGTGTGTGTGTGTGTACGCGTGTGTGTGTGCGCGTGTGTGTGTGCGTGTGTGCATGTGTGTGTGTACGTGTGTGTGTGTGCGTGTGTGTGTATGTGTGTGTACGTATGTGTGTGTGTAGGGATTCTGGGAGCGGAGGGACGCCAGGCTGCACGTAACAGCGACTTTGCCTTGCCGCGTTTCCGCTGCCTGCCGCGTCTCCTCCTGGTGCACGGCCACCTGTACTACGTACGCATCGCACAGCTGGTGCAGTACTTCTTCTACAAGGTACTACTACTACCACTAGTACTACTAGTATTAGTACCACTACTACTACCACTACTACCACTACTACTACTACTACCACCTGTACTACGTACGCATCGCACAGCTGGTGCAGTACTTCTTCTACAAGGTACCACTACTACCACTAGTACCACTAGTACTACCACTACTATTACTACCACCACCTCTACTACGTACGCATCGCACAGCTGGTGCAGTACTTCTTCTACAAGGTACCACTACTACCACTACTAGTACTACTACTAGTACTACAACTAGTACTACCACTACTACTACCACCTCTACTACGTACGCATCGCACAGCTGGTGCAGTACTTCTTCTACAAGGTACCACTACTACCACTACTACTAGTACTAGTACCACTACTAGTACTACAACTAGTACTACCACTACTACTACCACCTGTACTACGTACGCATCGCACAGCTGGTGCAGTACTTCTTCTACAAGGTACCACTACTACTACTACTAGTACTACTAGTACTACAACTAGTACTACTAGTACTACTACTACCACCACCTGTACTACGTACGCATCGCACAGCTGGTGCAGTACTTCTTCTACAAGGTACCACTACTACTACTACCACCTGTACTACGTACGCATCGCACAGCTGGTGCAGTACTTCTTCTACAAGGTACCACTACTACTACTACCACCTGTACTACGTACGCATCGCACAGCTGGTGCAGTACTTCTTCTACAAGGTACCACTACTACTACTACCACCTGTACTACGTACGCATCGCACAGCTGGTGCAGTACTTCTTCTACAAGGTACCACTACTACTACTACTAGTACTACTAGTACTACAACTAGTACTACTAGTACTACTACCACCACCTGTACTACGTACGCATCGCACAGCTGGTGCAGTACTTCTTCTACAAGGTACCACTACTACTACTACCACCTGTACTACGTACGCATCGCACAGCTGGTGCAGTACTTCTTCTACAAGGTACTACTACTAGTACTACCACTACTACTACTACTACCACCTGTACTACGTACGCATCGCACAGCTGGTGCAGTACTTCTTCTACAAGGTACTACTACCACTAGTACTAGTACCACTACTAGTACTACAACTAGTACTACCACTACTACTACTACCACTAGTACTACTACTACTACCACTACTACTACCACTACTACTACTACCACTAGTACTACTACTACTACCACTACCACTACTAGTACTACCACCACCTGTACTACGTACGCATCGCACAGCTGGTGCAGTACTTCTTCTACAAGGTACTACTACCACTAGTACCACTACTAGTACTAGTACCACTACTACTACCACCTGTACTACGTACGCATCGCACAGCTGGTGCAGTACTTCTTCTACAAGGTACTACTACCACTAGTACTAGTACCACTACTAGTACTAGTACCACTACTAGTACTACCACCTGTACTACGTACGCATCGCACAGCTGGTGCAGTACTTCTTCTACAAGGTACTACTACCACTAGTACTACTACTAGTACTACTAGTACTAGTACTACCACTACTACTACCACCTGTACTACGTACGCATCGCACAGCTGGTGCAGTACTTCTTCTACAAGGTACTACTACCACTAGTACTAGTACCACTACTACTAGTACTACCACTACTACCACCTGTACTACGTACGCATCGCACAGCTGGTGCAGTACTTCTTCTACAAGGTACTACTACCACTAGTACTAGTACCACTACTACTAGTACTACCACTACTACCACCTGTACTACGTACGCATCGCACAGCTGGTGCAGTACTTCTTCTACAAGGTACTACTACTACCACTAGTACTACTACTACTACCACTACTACTACCACTACTACTACCACCTGTACTACGTACGCATCGCACAGCTGGTGCAGTACTTCTTCTACAAGGTACTACTACCACTAGTACTACTACTAGTACTACAACTAGTACTACCACTACTACCACTACTACCACCTGTACTACGTACGCATCGCACAGCTGGTGCAGTACTTCTTCTACAAGGTACTACTACTACCACTAGTACTACTACTACTACCACTACTACTACCACTACTACTACCACCTGTACTACGTACGCATCGCACAGCTGGTGCAGTACTTCTTCTACAAGGTACTACTACTAGTACTACTAGTACTAGTACTACCACTACTACCACCTGTACTACGTACGCATCGCACAGCTGGTGCAGTACTTCTTCTACAAGGTACTACTACTACCACTAGTACTACTACTAGTACTAGTACCACTACTACTACCACTACTACTACCACCACTACTACCACCTGTACTACGTACGCATCGCACAGCTGGTGCAGTACTTCTTCTACAAGGTACTACTACTACCACTACTACCACTACTACCACTACCACTACTACCACCTGTACTACGTACGCATCGCACAGCTGGTGCAGTACTTCTTCTACAAGGTACTACTACCACTACTACTACTAGTATTAGTACCACTACTACTACCACTACTACCACTACTACCACTACCACTACTACCACCTGTACTACGTACGCATCGCACAGCTGGTGCAGTACTTCTTCTACAAGGTACTACTACCACTAGTACTAGTACCACTACTAGTACTACAACTAGTACTACCACTACTACTACTACCACCACCTCTACTACGTACGCATCGCACAGCTGGTGCAGTACTTCTTCTACAAGGTACTACTACTACCACTAGTACTAGTACCACTACTACTAGTACTACAACTAGTACTACTACTACTACTACCACCTGTACTACGTACGCATCGCACAGCTGGTGCAGTACTTCTTCTACAAGGTACTACTAGTACTAGTACTACTACTACTAGTACTAGTACCACTAGTACTAGTACCACTACTAGTACTACAACTAGTACTACCACCTCTACTACTACTACCACCTGTACTACGTACGCATCGCACAGCTGGTGCAGTACTTCTTCTACAAGGTACCACTACTACCACTACTACTAGTACTACTACTACTAGTACTACTACTACTACCACCTGTACTACGTACGCATCGCACAGCTGGTGCAGTACTTCTTCTACAAGGTACTACCACTAGTACCACTAGTACTACTAGTATTAGTACCACTACTAGTACTACTACTAGTACTAGTACCACTACTACTACTACTACCACCTCTACTACGTACGCATCGCACAGCTGGTGCAGTACTTCTTCTACAAGGTGCCACTACTAGTACTAGTACTACCACTAGTACTAGTACCACTACTAGTACTACAACTAGTACTACCACTACTACCACTACCACCACCTGTACTACGTACGCATCGCACAGCTGGTGCAGTACTTCTTCTACAAGGTACCACTACTACCACTACTACTACTACCACTACTAGTACCACTACCACTACTACCACCTCTACTACTACTACCACCTGTACTACGTACGCATCGCACAGCTGGTGCAGTACTTCTTCTACAAGGTACCACTACTACTACTACCACTACTACTACTACCACCTCTACTACGTACGCATCGCACAGCTGGTGCAGTACTTCTTCTACAAGGTACTACTACTAGTACTACTACTACTAGTACTACCACTACTACCACCTGTACTACGTACGCATCGCACAGCTGGTGCAGTACTTCTTCTACAAGGTACTACCACTACTAGTACTAGTACTACTAGTACTAGTACCACTACTACTAGTACTACCACTACTACCACCTGTACTACGTACGCATCGCACAGCTGGTGCAGTACTTCTTCTACAAGGTACCACTAGTACCACTAGTACTACAACTAGTACTAGTACCACTACTACTACCACTACTACCACCTCTACTACTACTACCACCTGTACTACGTACGCATCGCACAGCTGGTGCAGTACTTCTTCTACAAGGTACCACTAGTACCACTAGTACTACAACTAGTACTAGTACCACTACTACTACCACTACTACCACCTCTACTACTACTACCACCTGTACTACATACGCATCGCACAGCTGGTGCAGTACTTCTTCTACAAGGTACTACTACTACTAGACTACTACTACTAGTACTAGTACCACTACTACCACTACTACTACCACTACTACCACTACAACTACTACCACTAGTACTAGTACCACTACTAGTACTACAACTAGTACTACCACTACTAGTACTACAACTAGTACTACCACTACTACCACTACTACCACCTCTACTACGTACGCATCGCACAGCTGGTGCAGTACTTCTTCTACAAGGTACTACTACTACCACTAGTACTACTACTAGTACTAGTACCACTACTAGTACTACAACTAGTACTACCACTACTACCACTACTACTACCACTACTACTACCACCTGTACTACGTACGCATCGCACAGCTGGTGCAGTACTTCTTCTACAAGGTACTACTACTACCACTAGTACTACTACTAGTACTAGTACCACTACTAGTACTACAACTAGTACCACCACTACTACCACTACTACTACTACCACCAGTACTACTACCACTACTACTATCACTACTACCACTACTACTACCACTACTACTACCACTACTACCACTACCACTACTACCACTACTACTACCACCAGTACTACTACCACTACTACTACCACTACTACCACTACTACTACCACTACTACCACTACTACTACCACTACTACCACCTCTACTACTACTGCCATTACTACCACCACTACTACTACCACTACCACCACTACTACCACCACTACTACCACTACCACGGCTACCACCACTACCACCACTACCACCATTACCCACTACCACTACTACCACTACCACCACTACTACCACTACCACCACTACTACCACTACTACTACTACCACTACTACTACCACCACTACTACTACCACTACTACCACCTCTACTACTACCACTACTACCACCACTACTACTACCACTACTACTACCACTACTACCAACACTACTACTACCACTACTACTACCACTACTACTACCATCACTACTACTACCACTACTACTACTACCACTACTACCACTACTACTACCACTACCACCACTGCTACCACTACTACTACCACTACTACTACCACTACTACCACTACAACTACTACTACCACTACTACTACCACTACTACTACCACTACTTCCACTACTAATACTACCACTACTACTACGACCACTACTACTACGACCACCACTACTACTACCACCACTACTACCACTACTACCACTACCACTACTACCATTACTACCACTACAACTACTACTACCACTACTACTACCACTACTACTACCACTGCTACCACTACAACTACTACTACCACTACTAATACCAATACTATTCCTTCCACTGCTACTACCACTACTACTACTATCACCACTACTACCACTACAACTACCACTACTACTACAACTATCACTACTACCACTACTACTACTCCCACTACAACTACCACTACTACCACTACTACTACCACTACTACCACTACTACTACCACTACTACCACCACTACTACCACTACCACCACTACTACTACCACTACCAATACTACCACTACTACCACTACTACTAGTATCACCACTACTACCACTACAACTACCACTACTACCACCACTACCACTACTACCACCACTACCACCACTACCACCACCACGACTGCCACTACTACTACCACTACCACCACTACCACCACCACTACTACCACCACTACCATCACCACTACTACCACCACTACCACCACCACTACCACCACTACTACCACTACCACGGCTACCACCACTACCACCACTACCACCATTACCCACTACCACTACTACCACTACCACCACTACTACCACTACCACCACTACTACCACTACCACCACTACTACCACCACTACTACCACTACCACCACTACGACCACCACTACTACCACTACCACCACTACCATCACCACCATCACCACCATCACCAGCACCACCACCATCACCACCAGGACCACCACCAGGACCACTACCACCACTACCACCACTACCATCACCACCACCACCATCACCACCAGGACCACCACCAGGACCACCACTACCACCACTACCATCACCACCATCACCACCATCACCAGTACCACCACCATCACCACCAGGACCACCACCAGGACCACTACCACTACTACCACCACTACCATCACCACCACCACCATCACCACCAAGACCACTACCACCACTACCACCACTACCATCACCACCATCACCACCACCACCATCACCACCACCACCATCACCACCAGGACCACCACCACCATCACCACCATCACCACCACTACTGCCATCACTGCTGTTACCCGCCGTCTTTGCGACCCAGTGACCCACTGGGTAGTGGGGGGGTGGTAGTGGTGGTAGTGGTGGTGTTGGTGGTAGTGTTAGTCGTAGTGGTAATTGTGGTAGTGGTGGTGGTGGTCGTTTAGATGGTAGTGGTGGTGGGTAGTTGTGGGGAGCGGTAGTGCAGTGGTTAGCGCTACGCTGCGCTATGAACCTGGCGACCCAGGGTTCGATTCCCGCTGACGGCCAACACCAGTGACGATTATCTGAACCGGTCCTGGGCCTCCCCTAGGTCGACTCGGCTACAAATGAGTACCTGGTGTAGCGGTGTGAAGTAGTAAACATCGCCACTGGGGAGACAAAGGCGGCCGGGCGTGGTGCTGGTAGCCACCCACCCTCTCGTGTGCCACAGTGCCGGCAGCCTTCACAGGTGCTGCTCGCTAACAGCACTTGCCCCTGCAGTCTGGTGAGGCTACATGGGGGACCTTTGTCTTTGTGCATGTGTTGGGTACAGAACGTCTGCTTCATGACTCCACAGTTTCTCTTCCAATTCTACTGCGGATTCTCTCACCAGGTGAGTGGCCTCACTCACCACCCCCCGACCATGCCTAGGCCTCACCCCCCTACTTTGCCTAGGCCTCACCCCTATGCCTAGACCTCACCCCCCTACTTTGCCTAGGCCTCACCCCTATGCCTAGGCCTCACCCCCCTACTTTGCCTAGGCCTCACCATCCTATGCCTAGACTTCACCCCCCTATGCCTAGGCCTCACCTCTATGCCTAGACCCTCACCCCTATGCCTAGACCTCACCATCTACAATCTGTGTGTGTGTGTGTGGTGTCTGCTAGACGCTGTACCACAGCTCCTACCACACCATCTACAATCTGTGTGTGTGTGTGTGGTGTCTGCTAGACGCTGCACGACAGCTCCTACCTCACCATCTACAATCTGTGTGTGTGTGTGGTGTCTGCTAGACGCTCTATGACAGCTCCTACCTCACCATCTACAATCTGTGTGTGTGTGGTGTCTGCTAGACGCTCTATGACAGCTCCTACCACACCATCTACAATCTGTGTGTGTGTGGTGTCTGCTAGACGCTCTATGACAGCTCCTACCTCACCATCTACAATCTGTGTGTGTGTGTGTGGTGTCTGCTAGACGCTGTACCACAGCTCCTACCTCACCATCTACAATCTGTGTGTGTGTGGTGTCTGCTAGACGCTGTACGATAGCTCCTACCACACCATCTACAATCTGTGTGTGTGTGTGTGGTGTCTGCTAGACGCTCTATGACAGCTCCTACCTCACCATCTACAATCTGTGTGTGTGTGGTGTCTGCTAGACGCTGTACCACAGTTCCTACCTCACCATCTACAATCTGTGTGTGTGTGTGTGGTGTCTGCTAGACGCTGTACGATAGCTCCTACCACACCATCTACAATCTGTGTGTGTGTGGTGTCTGCTAGACGCTGTACGATAGCTCCTACCACACTATCTACAATCTGTGTGTGTGTGTGTGTGGTGTCTGCTAGACGCTCTATGACAGCTCCTACCACACCATCTACAATCTGTGTGTGTGTGGTGTCTGGTAGACGCTCTATGACAGCTCCTACCTCACCATCTACAATCTGTGTGTGTGTGGTGTCTGCTAGACGCTGTATGACAGCTCCTACCTCACCATCTACAATCTGTGTGTGTGTGTGGTGTCTGGTAGACGCTCTATGACAGCTCCTACCTCACCATCTACAATCTGTGTGTGTGTGTGGTGTCTGCTAGACGCTCTATGACAGCTCCTACCTCACCATCTACAATCTGTGTGTGTGTGTGGTGTCTGGTAGACGCTCTATGACAGCTCCTACCACACCATCTACAATCTGTGTGTGTGTGGTGTCTGCTAGACGCTCTATGACAGCTCCTACCACACCATCTACAATCTGTGTGTGTGTGTGGTGTCTGCTAGACGCTCTATGACAGCTCCTACCACACCATCTACAATCTGTGTGTGTGTGTGGTGTCTGCTAGACGCTCTATGACAGCTCCTACCTCACCATCTACAATCTGTGCTTCACCTCGCTGCCCATCCTGGCCTACGGCCTGCTGGAGCAGCAGCGCAGCATGGCCCAGCTGGAGAGGCGACCCGCCCTCTACAGGTACCTGTGTCTGTGTGTACCTGTGTGTGTGTACCTGTGTGTGTGTACCTGTGTGTGTGTACCTGTGTGTGTGTACCTGTGTGTGTGTGTGTGTGTACCTGTGTGTGTGTGTCTGTGTGTGTGTGTGTACCTGTGTGTGTGTGTGTACCTGTGTGTGTGTGTGTACCTGTGTGTGTGTGTGTACCTGTGTGTGTGTACCTGTGTGTGTGTACCTGTGTGTGTGTACCTGTGTGTGTGTACCTGTGTGTGTGTGTGTGGGGAGCGATAGTGTAGCGGTTAGCGCGCTGCGCTATGAACCTGGCGACCCGGGTTCGATTCCCGCTCACGGCCAACACCAGTGACGATTATCTGAACCGGTCCCGGGCCTCCCCTAGGTCGACTCAGCCTCAAATGAGTACCTTCTGCGGTGTGTAAACATTGCCACTAGGGAGACAAAGGCGGTCGGGCGTGGTGCTGGCCACCCACCCCCTCGTGTACCGTTCCGGCCTTCATAGGTGCTCGCTAACAGCACTTGCCCCTACAGTCTGTTAAGGCTATATGGGGGATCTTTGTGTGTGTGTGTACCTGTGTGTGTGTGTACCTGTGTGTGTACCTGTGTGTGTGTACCTGCGTGTGTACCCGTGTGTGTGTGTACCTGTATGTGTGTGTGTACGTGACGTCACCGCCACTTAGTGGCGAATGGCGGTTGTTGTTGTTGTGTCTATGTGTATGTATGTGTCTATATACGTGTGTACGTGTGTGTGTGTGTATGTCTGTACGTGTGTGTATGTGTGTATGTATGTGTGTGTGTACGTGTGTATGTATGTGTGTGTGTATGTGTGTGTACGGATGGCCACGTGGAATGTTCGAACACTCACTGCGGAGGAGAGGCTGCCACTCCTCTGTCGGGAGCTGGACCGGTACCGCCTGGATCTCTTTGGCATTCAGGAGGTCCGGTGGACCGGTTCTGGCTCCTGCCACCATGAGGGGTGGACAGTCCTCTACTCGGGGCAGCAGACTGCCAAACAACAGGGTGTGGCTCTTCTTTTGAACAAAAGAATGAAGGGGGCGTGGGAGCGTGGCGGTGAGGTGTGGGAAGCTGTAAGTCCCAGGCTACTTTGGGCTCTTCTTCCCATCAACCTGAGGTGAGGAGTGGTGGTCGTGGTTACTTATGCCGCCACCGAAGACGAACATCCGTGGAGGGATGCAGGCAAAGCCGATGAGTCAGATGCCTTCTATGACCTCCTGTCACAGGTGCTGGCTAAAGTGGCCCATCGGGATAGAGTCATCTTGTTGGGTGACTTCAATGCCCGAGTTGATCATGATGCTGTAAGATGCGCCGCCCATTCTTCCGCTCCGGTGGTGGGTGTACACCCAGGACCCCATTCCAACCTAAAGTGGCCTAGTCTCAGTTATCTGATGAAAGTTGCAAGCGAGAATTTTATCATCGTCTGCGGCTGGGGTTGGCATCGTCCCCCACTCCTCCTGATGTCGAGGGTAAATGGGCGAGGTTTAGGACTCATGCGGCTTGCAATGTCTGCTTTGGGTACGCGGTCCAGGACCTCCCCAAAGACCCTGGCTGACATTGGAGGTGTTCAGGATGGTTGAGAAAAAGCGACAGGCCCACTGTCATCGGCTACAGAATCCCACGTCAGAGAATGAGGAGGCTTACCACAGCCTTCGCTCGGAGGTTCGGAGAGCCATGAGGCGCTGCAAGGATGGGTGGTGGTCGCGGGTTG